AATTTAGTTAGTCACTTAAATAAGTGGTACATACATCTAAATTTATTATAATAAAGTAGGTACACTTCTTAGGAACAACTAGGCAAGTTTTTAAAAGAAAAGATAATATAGAAAAATAATAGGATTCTAGGGAAACAAAAAATTAGACAAATCTGGGGTTCTAAATAAACTATTGGATTAAATTTAAAATATAAATTTATATTATTTTTGGACCCTCATTTGGAAATAAATTTTATTTATTTTCGGAATCCTTTTGGGTGGAAGAAGTTCCATAGTACCTTGACAATGGATGCTTGAGACACATGACTAGAGAAAGAGGGTAGCTTGCCTCATTCATTGAAAAAGTAGGTGAAGTAACTATTGGGGTAAATAAGAAAAGAAAAATAATAAGACATAAAACATACAAATAAATCAAAACACTATAATTAAAAAAATAATGCTTGTTAAAAGTTCAAAGCACAATCGGATTAGGATCAACCAATTATCTAATAAAAAATTTAGAGTTAACTTTTGTCAATGCCCTAGGTTTTGATATTATAAATAAAATTTTATTTATTGAATATTGAGTGTTATTTATACATCCCTCAAAGTTACATCAAGTATTCAATATGTCTAATATGTTTACCATGTGGATCATACTTAATAATTTTATGATCATATCACTTGAATCCAATGTATTATTTCATGAGATCCAAAGACTCGTCATGATAGGAACAATGATCATTGATCAACATTTATCAAAACATCATCCCTTGATAAAAGGATATATACATGATTTAATTAATATAGTGGTACCTTTCTTTCCATTACGAACGACATGCTTCACCTGCTCCCTCCTCGAGTCCATTAGCACTCCTGTCCAGAGCGAAGAGAAGGCGAAAAGTGCCGCCGAAGCATCATGAGCAGGCTTCTATTGCTATGCAACAATAGACAAGGTGCACATGAAGCACCCACATGTTTGAATGATCGGGTAAAGAGTGAGCTTCTTATTGGATCCAACACATCTAGCAGAGCAAAGTAGCGTTCCATTCTTTTCAGCGGCTTCAAATGCTTCAGTGTATATTCCTTAAAAATCTACTCTTTGCCATGAAGGCGTGAATCACTATTCTTTCTATGCAAGGATTGGGAACTTCATTACCTACTCTTGACCATGGTAATGGATTTTCATGCGGGTTTCAAAAGTAAATCTAGGATTTCCAAAGGGAAAGGTTTGTTAGCCATACATAGAACTCTACACACTAACTTTGGTGGTCAAATTGGAAATGTGGATGAAAATGGGCTATTTTTAAAAGTATCTCAACACAAATAAATCAATTATAATTCTATAAAAGGTCTCAAAAATAGTAAAACAAAAATCAGGTTGATCTCAAAAATTTGAGATAATATTTGGTAATTTTTTATAATTTTCTCAAAGAATATATTTTTTTTATGAGCTTTAGACAAAATGATGAAGAGAAAATCTATTTAACAATTCATGAAAAAGGAAATTTGAGTCATAACGTCTAGATGAAGTCAGTACCCTAACAAACATGATTCAGATTGAAATAAAATTCTGCTTAGTGATTCTTGTCTAAGTGATTGTAAATGATCTAATTGATGACACTAAAATTTATAGAAGTCAAAAGAATAGCAATTGACTAATGAAGAGTTTCTAAACTTAAAATTATACAAAATATCAGTAATTTAAATAAAAATTAAGTTTAAAATAGAAAAGATAGAGTTCTGGGGTCATCGCGGTGATTGTTAGAATTCTAAGAATTTAAGAAGATTATCATGTGATGCCCATGACTTTAAAGACTCTCTTTGGACTTTCACGATGTGGGCAATCTTAAAATCATCTTGTGAAGTTCTAAAATTGATGAAATGAGTTGATAAATCACCCCCAATAGTAGTCACCTTGTGAAATAGTAATTCGATGGTTTTTGAATATCGAACAACCATCATCTGATAGAGATCAACTAACTGAAGATGAGGTGCATCTCAAGGAGATTCTTCCTCAAGTATGTGCAATAAAAGAAGGCTCATATCACATTTAGTTCAATTTGAAGAGACAACAATTTATCTCTTGGCGGATCATCTTATTTTTGATGATGACTTATTCGTTGTTCAATCAGAGATGATTTTCTTGATGAATTCATAATTTTTGTATTCAAAATCTTAAGTCAATTGTCAACGATTGATTGTAAATAGTGTTGATGTAATTTTTGTCAAAGGACAAATGATTCTAGCTACTTAATCATTGACCAACATTCTACATAAAATCAAGAGTTAATTAAGTAGAAGACATTAAATTTGATTTTGATTGATTTCAAATCTTTTTCGATTGCTTGCTTATTGAGAGAGTTAGATAATTACCCACATACCCTTGTACAATGTTGTCATGAAAGTATTTCCTTCTTATAAAGTAGATACATTTTAGGTATAAAAATGTATAAACTCACCGACTATTGCTAGCATGAGTTTAGTCTCACATCGGATGTATCTTGACATTTGAGACACATATATGTTCTTTACATCTCCTTATCTTTAATGGCTCTCTCACACATATACATGTGTATGACCACTCTTTGCCCCACGCTCAGTTGACCCCTAGTGAAGTGGAAGAGAAGTAATGCACACGTGTCCTAACTAGTCCTTAGCCACTTGAGCCCTCAACTCGTGGCTCCCTGTGCTTTCAACCCACATGCGGGCCCAATTGTCTCATAGGTCCCCCAACTATGCTTCCAATGCATATGCAGGCCCATGTGGCTAGTAAGTCCCTCTTTTTCTATTTTATTTTTTATAAAAAAATATGATTATAAAAATTATATTAATTCACATAAAATCACATAATTAGTCAAATTTTTTCATTAATCAATTAAAAATATATTTTCTAAAATTAATATAAATATGAATATATTTATCATAATTTAATAGAAAATATATTATTAATAAATTATTAACTCATGATAATGAAAGCTTATTACTAGTCAATAAAGAAAAATTATTGAACCAAAATGAAAATGAGAGATTTTCAAATCTAAGTAAGAAAAAGGAGCCTCCTCACTCCTCTAAAGGATAACATGAGAGCTTAACCAGAGGGTAGGAGGCGCCAAGGCAAAGGAGAAAGCTGAAGAGCAAAGGAACAAAGAGGAAGATCTTAGAATTAGTTGGTTGTGAATCAATAAATTTCTTTGCATTTAAAGTTTTTATTATTGTCTTAGTTCATTTCTTTCCATTCTTTGGGTGACATATATTGATAAGAAAGAATTTATTTTCAAAGTTATTTAATTTAAGCATTTCCTTCTTTTCATTTTCTTAGGTGACATACAAAAGAAGGAGAAAACTTTAGCTCATTCTTAGTTTTCATCATTACGAATTTAGTTAAACTTTTGATTATAATTACTTGCAATCTCTTTTTTCACCCTTGGGTAATAGACAAAGAAAAGAAAAGATTTTTATTTGAAGTTATAAGTTTAATTTAGATTTTATATTTTAATTTAATTCTTTATTAGTTCTATAGGACTTTATTGTGTGACAAACATCAAAGTTCTATTTAGTTTTAGAATTTATTTTGGTCATGAATTTAATTATTTTGGTTTATCCTTAATTAAAAATTAAGGTATTTCTACTTTCCATTTATTTTAATTTAATTTTAGATCTTTAGTTTTAATTATGTCAAACCATTGTCTACATAAATAGAAGTTATTATATTGATAACCAGCCCTTCTCATATTTCTGCATCATAATCTTTAATATATTTTTTTCTATTTTTAATTTAATCATCTCATTATGAAAAATATTTTTCTTATTATCTAGAATTGACAAGAGAATTAAATATAAAAAATTAATTAGAGAATGAGGATATTAAGCATTGAAGAGAATATTTTATTACTTATCTCATCCCATTTTGTTATTTTCTTATTAGTTAATATTTATGTTAAAAAATAAAAAATATCAAAATTAATTATCAGCATCCTTGAGGATTGACCTGAATTTACACTAATACTAAAATTTATTTAGAGAGTTCAATCATAAATATTGTTAAATTTACATGCATTAATACCAACGACTAACACATGATCAGCCCCTTTAGAGTTATGAATTTAAAATAGACATGTGGTTGGTCTATTTGGCCCCCTAGGGGTGTGAATCTAGCAACAAATGTGAGGGCACATATACTATCTTTAAAAAGTGAGGTCACACTTTAGTATTCATCCTATATATTTTAATATTGATATTTATGTACTTAATATATTGTGACCAACATGAATCAGTCATCATGTCAAAGACCAGCCAAGTGTAAGCCTACGTTGTCTCCCATAAGTAGTAAATACAGTAGGTGTATTATTTGGGAGCATTGGTCAAATAGAGATAGTTTGCCTAATGGGGAAGAGTAAAAGCATTGATTTTTATAGAGTTGAACTAACAAGTGTCAATGCAATTAATGGCCTTTCTTCAAAGAGTAGAGTGGGCCCTGTGAGACTAAAATTTACATAAATTTTTCCTCCCCCCCTGTTTCTCTATATCTCTTAAGACCAGCATCCAAAGCAATGTAATACTGTAACATTTTATAATCATACTCTGTAGTGAGTTGAGCTGAATAAACCAATTTACCTATAACAATAGGACAGATTTCACTCGATGCAGAATTTTGAATTAGGTCAGATCATTTCAAAAAGATTAATGCACCTACATCCTTCACAAAGTGAATGTAGGTAAAGATTCATATCTCTGACGACTAATATAATAAAAGATGATTCTTATTTCACCCATACTTCACAAGAAATGACATCTGAATATTATTACTACCAATATCTGGCAAGTGTCACAGACCAAGTAATTTTTCATTGTGACTCTTTGTGGACCTTAATCGTCCATTATATACACATTGCATGGCTAAAAGAAAAGCTCCAGCTACAGAATAATAAGAAGAAAAAATAAACCTAATATCTTGATCATCATTCATCAGTATTCTTTCTCAGTTTTCTTATTTTTTCTCCTTTTGGGGTCGATATCCCTCAGTCTTCCCGATCGCAGATTGCAGTGAAAGTGATGGATGCATGTGTGAAACTATTCAGAGCTGAGGATTTCTCTGTCTTCAAGAACTCACAGGAAGTTGTGTTTAGAGTGACCACCTTGGACTCCTCACCCTTTACCTTGAGGTCCCCGAAGTCGGAGATGAACCCAGGCTTTATGGTCTCCAGACTCACAACCTTCTTGCCAGTCAGCATCTGGACGACGGCTGACATTGCCGGGCGTAGCTGTGGGGAATCTTGAGTGCAGAGCAGGCCAACCTTCAGGAATCTGTGGGCTTCCTCAGGGTTGAAGTCCCCATCCAACTCAGCGTCAACAATTGACAGCAGATCATCGCGCTCATGGAGGTTCCATACCTGAAATACGAGAATTCAGTGCAGTATATCAGACCATTTGCACAGAATCTAGGAAGTCAAATGGGAGGTCAATGGGATGGGATGGGCAGTAGCAAGCCCAGGCCTAACCACACATTGATAAACATACATCGGTGGGCCAAGGTTTGGCATCATTTACGAAATTTAGATACTGGGTCTTGTGAATTGTTTTGTGGGCATTTGCAAGTCTTCTCTTTAATTACTTTGAGATAAATTATATGGGTCTAGGGGTGATATGATAGCGAGGTAGGCCCCAGCCCTGGCTCAGCCCAAAGCCAGATAGAAACCACAAAATGGGATCAGGCCCACAGTCACCTGTCGCAAAGTCTCCCTCTTCCTTACCTCGATCGTCTACTTCCTTCTCCACATCTAGTGTTGCTCAGCTGCCATCCATTTTCTTATGCTACATTCTGGCATCGGCCCTGATACCATGTTGAAGTTATCGACCATCTAACTAAAACTAATTGACAAGGTCGAATAACCACACATTTAATTTTCCGACAGGTCAATGGAGGGTCAGAGTGCACTTTTGGCAAAACGTGCCAGCTCCACACTCAACCATAGCCATTTCCCTAGATCACCTGAGTGAGCTTAGTTCAGGTCATATCAGGGCAAACCCAAGTGTCAAGGAAGTCACTCCAACCACTGCAGCATTGAACTTCTGAAGATAATTTTGGGGCAGATCCTTGAGATTGCTTATGATGTGGGTGGAAAATGTTCGCAAGTCGTCCATAATTAAATGGAAATATTCAACGGAAAGAATCTAGGAATTTTGAAGATAGAAAAGGAATCATTGAACTTATGACAGCTGCAAGAGGCCCTAAGGCCGGCGGGTGAGTTTTGTAACGTCCATGGGACGGAGCACGTTTCAGGGTGAGAGCCATTTGACAATTCCATGAGTTGGAACCCACATGACAGGTTTATAAGATGGGGTCCATTTGATGGGTCTATAGGATAGAACCCCTCTTGCAGTAGGCATGAATGCAAGACCCAAGGTTGACAAAGTTAATTATATATTGACGTTGGACACGAGGTTTTAAAACGACCTTGACCACTCGGCACAAAAACCCACATAGGGCCTTATTAAATCCCAAATGACTAGACACAACCCACCACACAGACTTCTTTAAATGCTAAACACAAGGCACAATGCATCTCAACTTCCTGTTCATAATATTTTGATTATGAAAAAGGTTCTAGGAGCAGATCTTAAAATTAAATAATTCTTACATCACAATGGCTTCATGAATTGAATTTCGTTTCCTATCCTGGACTGTCATTCGTTTTTGCTTTGATTTTAAAAACTTAGAAAAACTTTAATGAGCGAAACTTCAAATAGAAAATATACATGAAACTTAACTAGGTAACAGAGATGAATTTCAAATTTTGGGAGTCAACTCTCTAGACGCAGAAATTGCAGCTGAAAACGTAGGCATCCAAAAGCTGGTCATCGGAACTGAAAATTTTGACTATTGGAAGGCCATAAAATTCGCAACTGCATGCTTTCCCACAATAAAAGAAAGTTTCCAGTCCATGAAGGGAAGGTTATAGCATAAAATAGATTTTGACTATGGCATGAAACTATAGGAGGTAAGGTAGAGCCTAAAACTTAACAAAGCACAATCTTTCAGCTAAGGTTCACAGTTCTCAAAAAAATAGATTACATGTGAGTGTGGAGAGAGGCAGCAGATTGACGTACTATAAAAATTTGTTTCTTTGCATTTGCGTTGCTGGACTCAGCCCACTGGGCCTCTCGTAATCAACCAAAAATGAGGCCAGCCTGTCTTCTTCTTTTGGCTCCAGATTTGGCTCATCTGGTATAAACTAACTTAAAAAGTTTTACAGTGCGTCCAAAGGACAAAGACCAAGATCTGTATAAAGTCTAAAAGAATTCTGACCCTAAGACATTGAGGCACATTAGGTCCTAATGAATCACGACTGCTAGGCACAAGAAACATAAGGAATACTAAGTTCCTTCACTGCACTCTGAGATAAGGTTGCAGCTATCTTCACTAATGGGATATTCATACCTATCTGTATAAAGTGTTTATAGATATTACACAACCATTGATGGCTTTAAAGATCCAGTAACCCATCTAAAATATAATAACCTACATCTTGCATTGTTCTCTTTCATACCCCCAAGAGCTAGGATTATTTAAAACACTTTTTAAGTACTTTGCGAATGCTTAGTGATTAATTTATAAATTCTTTGAGGTCGGAAGCCAATGAAATTGACTCCCTTTCTCTCCTCAAGGAGATCGCTACACACCACACAAGGTTCTTCACCCTCTCTCTCCTAACCCTTGTTCTTCTCGTTTTCCACTCTCTACAAGTGGTGAGAGGCATCAACAAAAAGTCCCATGAGGGATTTGCTGAATCTCCATCAACATTTGACTTTACTAGATGAGTTTCTACAGTCAATGTGCCAACTCACAAAGAAAGGATTATAAATAAGATCGCATAGTAGAAAAGCGTTTTCCATGTACATAGATAATAAATTTGCTTACCGTTACAAGAAGGAACTGATCTCCAACAGGTAATCGTTTGTTTGTATTGCATCTACCACTAATTACCTCCAAAAGAAGAACACCAAAACTGTAAACGTCTGCTTTTCTTGTCAACTTCCCGCTTATTGCATACTCAGGTGCCAGGTAACCCCTGCATTTCACAGGTGTAATTGTGGATTAGAAGAGGAAATGGGCAAGCTACAATGAGCTCTTCACCTCTGCACGTGTCATGGCCCCCTGCCTCCACACCTCCCCCCCCTCTCCCCTCCCCCCCTCAAAACAAAAAAAAGAAACCGAATTTAAAATTGAGAACTCTCAGACTAACGAAGGATCCCCATTGTTTCCAACTAAAGATAATGCACAACTCACATTGTTCCTGCAACTCGGGTGCTGACATGTGTCATATTTGGTGGAAACAGCTTTGCAAGACCAAAATCAGATATTTTCGGTGTGAGATCATCATCAAGAAGAATATTACTTGCTTTGATATCTCGGTGCACAATATGAGGTTTTATTTCTTCATGAAGAAAGGAAAGACCACGGGCAATGCCAATGCAAATTCCAGCTCGCACTCTCCAGTTTAAACGAATATTACTGGATCTCTTACCTGAAAGTCGGCAATAGATGAGTGAAATTCACAACAAATGCAAAGAGCTGAAAAGAGGAATATATATACAAATAGACACATAGGCAAGGAGGGACAGATTACTAAGGAGGGTATGTGCAAGACTATTATTTGCGAGATACTTATATACCAATATTCTGTGATTCCCTTCCACACAGCAACCATAAAGTTCAACAAGGTTTTCATGAACCACATTGGCAATTGTTTTCAGCTCAGATACAAATTCTTGCACTCCCTGTTTTGACTCGGATGACAGCACCTTGATTGCAACGACTGCCTCATTTTTAAGTTTTCCCTGTATATCCACAACCAAAAGATTAATTCAGCTTGATCAAACGTATGCTCATAGGATTCAGTTATCACTAGAAAACTGGATGAGATATGGGCTCTCTGATCATGTGTCAGGAAATGGTTAGGACCCGGACAAAGTTGCATCAACAGAAAAATAATCAAGTAGGGTTTGATCTAAACAATCCTCAATACGCATATGATCACAAAATGGATTACCTGGTAAACAGAACCAAAACCTCCTTTGCCAATTTTGTTAAAATCATGAAAACCTTGAGTTGCCTGTTTCAGTTCCTTGTAAGAGTAGATCCGGATATTTTCTATCCCTTCAACTTGTAAAATGAAATGTAACCCAATTAGTAATATTAGACAGGTCTCTTGATGATACAATGGAGTGCCTAGGCCAGCTCTGCTAATCCTCACCCTCATCAAAAGGAACGCCAAGCTCTTGCGAAGCCTTTTCTTTGATTAAGCAAGATAGGCAATTCATTACTGCTTGATCTGGCTATAAATAGGCCCTCTATGCCAAACCAACCTGAGAAGAAACACTATTAACCCTGGTAGCCGGCATAAGATTTTAGATAAAGAGCAATTAATTATGCACAGGGGAAGACCTAACTGCATAATATACAGCGAAAAAATCGCGGCACATGGAAGTTTTATTACACGTTTTCTGATTCAGCATTTATTTTAAAAGAAAATTATGACGTTAATGCTGATCAGTTTTTTGATAGTAAATCTGTGTTCTCTTCCTACTTCAGGTTTTTTCACTGGTAATCAAGTGGAAACAGAAAGAAAAACAGAAGCATTTCTTCTCTGACTTCCCAAGGGAGCATCAAAATATCAGATTACAATCATGAACAATTTGTGATATGAACAATTGAAAGTCTGGCAATTTGTGATATGAACAATTAATTCCCAAGAGGATTTCTTCTCTGGCAGAAGGTCTTTTCCAATTTGTGATGAACAATTGAAAGGATAATGTGTACACTCATACACATTATCCTGTCATATGGAGCAAAACAAGCCCAAAAGATCATTGAACTGAAAAATAAGAACACTAAATAACAAATAAGAAATTTCCTAGTTACGGGAAAACTTTCCCCACCTGAAAATCACCTCATGAGGAGAGAAAAGAATTCGCTTTAGATATGGCTTTTGACAACCTCTAAGCTACAATCTCGATCCGGGGGGTGGGGAGCAATGTTTACCTTGCACTTTTTCATTGATTTCATTGATGTTCTTACCCATAGGTATGATTGTTCTTTTGAAAAAGTTAGGATCCCTTGTATTAATGATGTTGACACCATTTTCCATGAATAATTTTCCAAACCACAGCACTTGGGTAATGATGCCACAAGTAGTCTTGGAGGCCCTGGATCATCCCTATTTAAACATTCTGTTTTCACTGGGATCAGTTTGTGAAATCCTGTGATCGGTTTGCAAAATCTTGCAGAGCCCATGTACGAAGATGTACTGAAATCTTGTGATCAGTTTGCAAAATCTCGCAGAGCCCATGTATGAAGATGAACATCCAACAGCATGTGAAATGAGACATGAAGAAAATGGACAGGAAGAAGCACCATTGAGTGTCCAGAGGCAGCCACTTTGGGGAGAAGCAAAATTAGGTGTGCAAAAATGTTAAGGAAATCCTTATTTTAGTTTTCCTAATTGTAGCCGGAGCATAAACCTTGGAAGGATTGACTTGTTTCTGTGAAAAATATTTTAAAAAGGGAATTGTATGATATCATGTTCCTTCTCTCCTTGCAGCTGAGAGTATTGTTGAACGTGGGGAAATGAGACATAGAAAGCTGCCCTGTGCTTTCTCTGGATTGAAAGTCAGAGGATAATGCATCTATATATATACATGCTGTAGGTTTCGTTATGATTTCTCGAGCAATTTAGAAGAAGAACCAGAGAAGATTACAATAACAATAATGATGATGATGATGATGATGATGATGATAATAATAATAATAATAATGCAGTCGAGCTCCTTTACGGTTGATGCCATAGGAGCTGAAGCTTGAGGTGCAATCTCCTTTGGAGTCAAAGGAGTCATGGAGTCATGGAGTCCTTTATCTTCAATAATTCAGGAACGCATCGTATTAAAAAAATTCATCTTCTATACAAGGAACAGGAAAATTGCTGTCCTAGAAGTTCCTATTTGAGTTGCAATCCCCCTCAGACTCTGTTGCCATTTTCGTGCTTTTGAATTATTTCCAATTGTCAGTATCTTTGATCCTAAAAATCTATTTCAACAAACCAGAAAGATTAGAGGCCAAAGAAATTCGCTACATTCAATCACCAGAGGAATCAGAACTGCTACCAGGCAGACGAACACTAGATGCCAAATAAGGGAAACCTCAGGATCATTCCATGAATTTCAAGAAAAAGAGAGAAGCCGAGGAGAAACAAGTCAAGAGGCTAGTCACCTGCGCACCGGACGACGACAGAGAACCACAGATTTCCACCTGGAACCAGCCCTGATGCTACCGAACCGGATCCCCTTTCATCGCTCCCACCAACCCCCACCAGAAACTGAGAGTTCAAGCGAAACCCAGAAGAGGATCCGCGGGAATGGAGGTGGTGGGGGAGGACAGGATTGCTTCGATGGTTTGACCAGTCGCTATGTAAGCCGGAGAAGCCCAATCCAATATTCGAGAGAAACGGCGACAGATAACAGGGACAGAGAGGGAGAGAGGAGGATGGTTAACAGGGACACAGGGAGAGAGGAGAACAGTAGACCAGTAGAGACGGCTGACCGGAGCGACCAGGTCGCTCGCGGTCTTCGTTCCCCATTGAGACCGTCTCTGCGCCCGAGAGCCGACGACTTAGTCAAAGGAGCCAAGGTGGCGGGAGGAAACGAGCCGAGCTCATCGGACCGGGAAGGCGGCAGACCGAGTTAGCATCCCTAAGAAAAAAGCCCAATTAATGGTGCACGTAAATCGACCAATAGATGAAGGCAAAAACATACTGTGATCTTGAGTGGAGTAGAGGTTTGACTTGTCTCGAAGGTAGACTTGAATTAATGTTTAGTCAATCCAGGGACTCTGACCCAGATGAGCTGCTTTAAGACGGCAATGATTTGGCATGTTCCACCAACACCGATCAAGGCAGGCCTTCTCGCTCCTGAGTCAACTTTTATTGTTGTCGGGCCCGAAAGAAGAGAGAGAGAGAGAGAGAGAGATTTCGTACTAATAATAGAGGAACAAGCTAGCGGCTAGGGACACATGGGCCTTGATCTTTCATGCACGGCCCATTGAGATCTGGGCCCTATGCAAATGACCTATTTTCTTGTAGACTTGTCTTGAGGTCTAGACTAAAAGGAGAAAAAAAATGAAAAAATCATCTAGATTTATCTAATTTTTCAAAATTTTATCAAAATTTATTAGGCTTTAAATTCTTTTCAAGAACATGTTTTGAAACGCCATTCTGGTCAGTCAAATTTAACCTATCATGCGTCCCCACCTTTCTCCCCTCATTCTTTCCTAATGAATCCCACAGCAACTCTCTCTAAATGAGGCAGACTGGCTGGTGTGACACAAAAACCTCCCTTCTCTCTTCTCTCTCTCTCTCTCTCTCTCTCTCTCTCTCTCTCTCTCTCTCTATCTCATGCGTGCAAGAGAGAGGCATACAGATGTTAGCAAGTATTAATAAGAGGAGAGAGGGCTGTTAGTTGTAGTAAGGTAGTACTAGATATTAGTGATTGAGCCTTTCCAACATGCTCCACTCTCTAAAGATCACGTCCTTACATTTCATTATACCATTGCTATTGGGTTTGGCCTATGTACTAGAACTACTCAATTAGAATTCAAAAAATATAAATGTTTTAATAGATTTAACATTTAGCTTTTGTGGTGTAATTTCTCTTTGCCCAAATATGCAAAAGTAAGTTGTGAGAGGAAGACTTTGAATGCTCGAATAGCCATTGATTTTCTTTTCTTTTGGCTAATCAATTTGCTTGTAAACTCATGTGGAGACATTGTGACTCTAGCCTTCGTTATCCTTTAGCATGGGGTGGTCCCATTATACAAGTTGAGTTCTATAGTGACTCAAAATCAGGTCATTTATTTTCATATTATTAACTAAATTTAAAATTCACATAATGTAAGTTATTTTTTAAAAAAAATCAAACAATTACAAGTAAGTTGGAGGCATGGTTGAGAAATTTTGCAACTTCTACAAATGTTATATAAAGTTTGTGCATATATACAAGTGTCCCTTGAATGTGTCAACCATGCTACTTGAGGCATACATATAGAGAAAGACTTGCAAGTTAATTAAGCATATCTTAGTTTATAAATTCATGTTTGATCAAGGAAATCCATTGAGCCCAAAAAATACTCACATGTACATGTAGCTCCATAATAAGTATTTATTATCATGAGTTAATAATTTATTAATAATATATTTTAAACCTTAACTCATGATAAATAAACTTATATTTATGTTAAATTAATAAAAATAGTTTTTAATTGGTTAATATGATTTTTTAATTAATTATATGATATTATGTGAATTTATATAATTTTATAATTATATTTTTGAAATAAAATAAATATAAATATAAAAATAGAAAAAGAGGGGACTTGTTGGCCAACTAGGCCTACAAGCGAGTCAAAAGTATAATTAGGTGGAGTCATGAGCATGGGGCTCAAACGACTAAGGAACAATTGACTAGGCACATGTGTGTCACACCACTTCTACATCACTAGTGACCAATCGAGCGTGGGGTAAAGAGTAGACACGTGAGAAGAAGATATTGATGAAAGATATATGTATTATTTATATATCTATCTCAAAAATTGATAAAAAATCAATGTAGGACTAAACCCGCGCTAATACTTGTAGGTAAGTTTTACATATTTATATACCTATAATGCTCTTGATCTATGAGAAGGAAGTGCTCTCATGATGTCATTAGGTAAGGGAATGCATGTAATTAATTGGCTCTCTCATGTAGACAAATGATCAGTAAACATTTAAATCTCACTAAAGTCAAAAATTGTGTTCTTATCTAATTAAATCATGATTTTTCTATAAAATGTCATTGAATGATTAAATCATCAAAATTGTTCAATCATCAGTAAAAATATTGTTAACGTGATTTACAAAGCATTGTTATCAATTGACAAATAATTCTTGATAAAACAATTATAAATTCATCAAGTAAATCATCTCTAATTAATTGACAAATTAACTATTGTCAATAAGAAGACGATCCACTAAAAGATAAGTCATCACCTTCTAAGAGCATACCAAATGAGATGAAGAACATTTTCTTACTACATGATCTTGAGGATAAAGCTCTCTAAAACGTGCCCCACCTCCATCTAACTTATCTTCGTTGAATGACAATTGTCAGACGTCATTAATTTTTAGACTTCGTAAAGAGGTTTAGAATTTTTTCTTGTTGTTTGTATTCAATGAGAGCCTTTAAAGTTGTGAACATTGCACGATAATTTTTTTGAATACATAGAATTTTGACGATCGCCGCCTCAAAGTCAGAGCTCTGTTTTTCTGACTTTCAACTAATTTTTTACTTAACTTAGTAGTAGTTTGTGTTATTTCAAAATTTGAAACTTTTATTCATTAAATATAATTATTTTAAATTTTATAAAACTTAATTTGATTAATTAAATTATCTATAATTATTTTCATAAGAATCGTGGGGTGGAACTTTATTTTTGCTTGAATTATGTTCATTGGGGCGTTAACATCATCTTGATGTTTGTAGTCGATTTTTTTTGGTAAATTTTTTAATATATTTTATCTTCATTATTTAGTCTAAAAATTATAAAAAATCATATTTTTTGAAAAAAAAGAAATATTATGATATATTATCTTACATCCCTATTATTGACTTGAAATTTTTTCACTATTTTTAAAATATTTTATCAAATTATAATTAATTCATTTATTCTGAAATATTTCTAAAAAATCTAAAAATAAATATTTTCTAATTTGATAAAAATTAAATTTATGTAATTTGTTATATAATGATTAAGTCATGTCACTCTATTTTCTAATTTTAGTTTCTTTGGGTAAAAGTGCCAATATATGCTATTATATTGGCGAGGAATTGAGCTCAAGAATCATTGCTCTTTCATATTGAGAACCATTTCTTTAAGTTTTAGCATGTAATTTAATTAAAGATTGCACTTGTACATTTATAACATGTGTTGTCTACATGATTTGGTATATGACTTCTGAGGATAATACTTTTCATACCAACTTCATTTTTATCAACATTCTATAGGCCTCTAAAACCCATGTGCAAGCTCAACACAGAGTTAACACAACAATCACGAGTTATTAAAGTCAAAGTTGACTGATTAGCTTCAATCTATCACACAACTCTCAAGTCCCCAACATGCCTAGAGGTTTACTTGAAGAGACAAGCAAGGGACGAATTGTGTCACAGAGTGACCAAATGTAGATATGACAATAATTATCATTTCTTTCTTTCTTAAAGCATACTAAGAGATTAAAATTCACACAGTTTAATGTGTTTTTACACATTAAATCATCTTGGGATGACCACAATGCACCCCCTTTAATAAGTTTTACACCTTTACAAGTTCATGTAGAGCTTTGTCGAGTTAGCACTTTACATTAATATTTAAGTATAGTTGTTGAAGGGCAGTAAATTTAATTATTTTTCTGAAGGATCTCTTTTTTTTTTTGTTTTGTTACTCTACTCTAGTAATCATATATCCTTTCCAATATAATTATTTAAAAATCGGGTGATTTTAATTACGGCTTGTCTTGTATGGCTGGTTTGGTAGTCGCTCGTATTGGCATTGAAATAACGGGAGGACCAAGAGTATATGATGTAACATCAATGAAAAGGATATAAATACAATATGCAAAACATGGATGTCATGAGTTTTATTAAATGTGTATCATCATCCAGTTACATCTGTCTCCGCTGATTGAATTTATAAAAAAATCCTATGAAATATAAACAGTGTTAAAATACCTCCTCTAATATTTTCATACTAGCCGTGGTGTATTGTTTGACGAAAACGTGATAAGCTAGGGTTATAAAATAAAGTGGAAGAAAATTAATAGATTTATTGCGAAAGTCAGGGTCATCGTCCTGCCAAGTTACCGCCATCTTTGAACTTCCTATCTGAACCCTAGAAAGGGGAAAAACCAGCACGGAAACGCACGGTGGAGCTCTCCCTGTTTTTCTCCTCCCTCTCTGCTCGCTGGGATCCAGAGGCCGAAGAGCACCTCCTACTGGGCGGATGGTATGGGTCTCATGGGACTGCCCTCCCTTCTCGCTCTTGTGAGTCGCATGGCCGCTTGAGGGCGGGAAGGAAGGTTTCCGGGGTTGACGACGATGGGCCGCCCGGAGCCCTGCGTCCTTTTCTCGCATTCCTTCGTCCACGCGCAACTTGATGAGTACGTCGACGAGGTCAGTCACTCTCCCTACTCCGTGTAGGTTTTTCTTTTTTCTCGCTCAACTGTTCGCGGTCCGTGATAATTCGCGTCCCTTTTCATGGTGCACTCTGAAATGATCTTTTGTTTCAAGCTATTTTCTGTGGATTTTTGTGCGTACCTTCGATTATGCTCATCGAATTGACTAGGGCTTAAGTGGAAACTGGATTGCTGGCCCCATATGGATGATGCTTGCATCACAGTGACCGGAGTTTTGAAATATATAAAATTTATCAAGCTATTCTGCCGGTTATCTTACCCCTCCCCGAATTTCTCAACACGTCATAGCCTAATCTCGTACGAATTTAATTATGAATTATGTATTGTTTGAAGTAAGTTGGAATTACGGTGGACATAGAAACACCGGTTATCTACAGTCTGTTTTGTCTATAGGTGGATAATTCGTTATTTCGTCGTGTATTGTTCGTTCAGGTATTGTTTGCAGGGCCTGTCGTCGTTACTGGTTGTGAGTTCCTTGAGCAGAATGCGTCTCCTTCAGTTCCTGCAGTATCACTTGTTGGGTATGACAGACATGTTCTTTTCTTTGAATTTTCTTTATCAGTTGACAGTTAACTATTATCGGGATGGAATTGGTGCCAGAGGCTTCTAATCTGTTTCGCCTGTTGCGTCTTGAAATAATATTGTTATTGCATTCCTTACATATATGATCTCATTGTTTTCCGTGAGTCTTTCACAGGGTTTTGGACAGTACTAGGACAATTGATTAATAATGCTTTAATGTCTAAATATACTATTTTCGGTCTATCAACGTTATACATTCGTGGAAACCTCTAAAAAACCTTGTGTTACTAATTTTAGTGATCCAATAAGTTTTGATGCAAGATGAATACATCAGATGGTGAGCCATATCTTCAAAGCCTCGTTTTCTCTAATCATCTGGAAGCTTAGTTTAGTGTAGAAGAGATCTGTTACAATGCTATCAATTAGGATCATAGAAATTCGTGGAATAGAGCCATTTTACTCATCTCAAAGATAATGGTGGTTCAACTATTTAGTATAATATTCCCATCTACGTAGATAGTGGCTAGCCAGAAGAAAAATTTGAATCAGAAGTGGTATATATTGGTATTTAATTTTTGATAGTGGACCGTATTCACGACCATTCATAGAGAAAAACTATTCTGTATGATGACGACCACTTGTATAGAAGCTTAATGGGTGGCAAAATCCGTTGGTAAACATCAATACCTCCCAAAATGAAGGATTGGTTTCCCCCCTAGTAGATCATGTTGTAACCCATTCTCTGTTTGTCTCTTCCTCTCTCGATCAGAAATAATAGTGACCACACCGAACTGAACCGTTTTTTCCTCAATATGTGATTCCACGTTCTCTAAGAAGGTTGAATATAGGGTAAACTACTACCCTGTTTAATCTTCTTGTAGTATCTATCATTGATGCCTACATGTCCATCTTTTCTCAACTACCCACGGACGTGTTATGAAATAATTATTCTATAGAGTATCATCTGCAGAGTTTCTTCTGAAAATTCACATCTGACGAATGTATCTATGACATGCTCTTCTCCTGCATAGGCTGCCGATAATCTGAATATTATCTTTAACTTTACCAGCCAATCACTGGTGGAAAGTTTCCCATGTGAGATCTTCCACATTAAAATCTTAACCTTTAGTGACTATTACATATAAACACTTTAAAAGCTGCATGATGCGACCAACCTCCTTTGTTTTTAATGATATGAGGTATAAATTTGCTTCTTTTATGCCTCCAGTTCCGTGAATATCTTCTGCTACCGATGTTGCTCTTGTTTCTAGCAAAGAGAGAATTGTCTTCTTGTTACTCAATCCCCTTTACCCCAAGCGCTTTCTAAAAGGTGGATATCACGGTCCTAGGTGGACAAATTTATGTTCAATGATCTTATGGCCATTTCAACTGTAAATTTCAATTGATGTCTTCTCTTTATTTATGGGAAATCCCTCCTCATCCTAGAAAATTGGTTATAGTGTTCGGTTGCAGGTTCCACACTCTTGTGCTCGTGTAGTACTAATCATTTCTGTCCGTAATGCGCTTTCTTATATTCTCAGTAACAGCAAGCCATAATTATTAGTGCCAACTTGAAGTCTCTGATGATCATGCTCCTAATGCCTCCATTTTCTTTAGGCTTGTATATTTCTCCCGAGCCTATATAATGGCATTCTCTGCAATTGTGTTCACTAGCATGTCATATGAATCTTGTAGTTATTTTAGGCATTTTTGTCACCCTCTTCAAAATTCTGAATGGGAATACCAAATGTGTCACAATGTGACATCAAACTAATCCCCTGCCACTTCTTTCCTTTCCATTTTTCCACCCTGTATTCAGATTTTTGTATAAGCTTTATCAAGTCCTATCATTGTTATTTGGTTTTAGTGGCAACCTCAAATATGTGATATTTAAGTTTCGTACCTCACATCCAGGAAGTATGGCTGTCCTTCTTGAGCCTGTTAGCCTCTTCTAAACATTCTAACAGTAGTCTAACTATGCACATGTGAAACAGGTAGAAAGTTCATATTGAACTGATAGTAATCATTGCATTAATCTGGTGGAAAGAAACAGTCCATATTCGGGGAGAATCCAATATCCCAGCTTTAAAATGGACAGAAGGAAAATCAATTAGGGTCGAATTGAAGGAAAATCCATATGGGTTAAGGTGATGATACAGAAATCTTTCGAAACGGATCTAGTGGCCTTATATATATATATATATATATATATATATATCTATATACTCATCACAGCTACAAATATGATTAAAATGCGTGCTTCAGCTATTCCCGAGGGAAGCACATAGAATTCCAAGTTGATTCAGAAAATGATAGAATGACAGTGCCATTTTTCTCAGAATTTTCCACCTGCTTTGTTGTTTTTGACCTGGAACTATAATAGGTCAAGACATGGGCGATTTATGTCTTCTTTGTGTATATGTCACTGAATGATGATTTCTTTTCGGTATTGTTCTTTGAAGTGGGTTGTTTTCTAGTGCTTGAAGACGTTATTAATCTCATTGGTCAAGTTTTATATTTACTTTATTATTTCATATTTTAAAAACATTAAATAAATGGATCGTACGTGTGTATAAAGGTCTTCCTTCTTAACCTTTGGTTTTTGACCAAAAGGAATGGATATGATGATTGCCATGAGCAACTTTGGTGGCTTCTTCTTAATGTCTTAGCACTCTCATGCTTTCTTTGGCTTGGGGTGACCTTCAAACTGTTTGTAGCTTTTAGTAACCTGGTTTCGTTTCTAGCATGTTGATCTCTTAACTTATGTCACAATCTTATTTCCCCTAATGTTAACATTAGGACATAGAGTTATTTCTTGAGGAGAGTAAATCATTCTTATGTTCTTGATTTTGAAGAAATTGATTCTTGAATCTAACGAGAGACGTGACATTGGTGCCATTCTGTAACCATTCCGATAGATGAAAAGTCGTGTAAATTATTTTTTCATGTTGATTAATGTTCATCTTTCAAATATTTTTACTTATTTTCTGTGAGTGAGGCTTGAGTTCCACATTCTTGATACAGCGCTACATCACCACCTTCATTTGCACTGGAAGTTTTTGTTCATTGCGAAGGGGAGTCTCGTTTTCGGCGCCTCTGTCAGCCTTTTCTTTACTCACCATCTTCATCAAATGTGCTAGAAGTTGAGGTATTTCTTTGTGTTCGCATTTGCGGTCAGCACTCTGTTTGGAATCTCTCAATGAACTTTATGAATAGCCGCTTTCTTGTTTCAAAGCTTTACATTCCAGTGTTTTCCTGTGAATTTTTAGGTTTCCTTTTCTTTCTCTTAATTGCTCTGATTTAGGTTTTAGAAGGATGTTTATCTTCAACTTGGAATGAGACAGGGATAGCTGATTATGTAGAACTACTAAATATTAAGGCGGATGCCTCATTACCTTGACAGCTAGTTTTCGTTTTTGTGATTTTTAAGAAAAAAATTAAATGTACATGATCTGACTAAGAGACTTTTGTTGTTTTTGTATTCATGCTTCATGGTTTGATGGGTGATGATGATTTTATTTCCACTCTTTGAATAAAATACAGAAGGACATGAGAAACCTCCATCAGTATGTTGTGTAGATGACAAGGTATATACCATTGCTAAAGATTCTTGCTGTTGCAAATTACCTAGATAGAGTGTGTGACACAAAAAACATTCCTCTATGTCAAGGTAAAAAGCTGCAGTTATGACGTGCTAAAAGATGTGTGCATGATTTGGGAACTATTTCTTTACTGGAAAAAATGCTAGAAAAATGATTGTTAAGTGAAACTGTCATGCCTAGAAGTTGATCATGGTTGGAGTCTGAATATAAGGGGCTAAATGGTTAGATAATCTGATGGAAATGATAATTTCTTTATTTACTCATCACTTTTTATTTGTATAGAACTCGCTGTTTTTTTGCATGATCTTTAAACAACAGCAGACAGAAACAAAGGTGAATTTGCTGCTCAACGGTAAGTCATAATGTCTTCAGAAGGTTATTCAGTTCTATTCAACTGGCAGAAGATAGGTTAATGCCACGTATGTTTTGAATGACATTGATCTATGATGAAACACAGTTATTAGATAAAACTGATAGGGAGGACTGAGGTGGACAACCTGTTTTTAGGTTCGTAGATGTACATCAAGCTGCCTTCTAAAACACTCGTGGGAAATCTTTTTTCCATTGTGAATAAGAAAACAACTGTATCACGTTTCTTATAAACTAATCAACTGCGTTGTGGGGATTTTTAGGCATCAAGGTTGTTCATATTCTCTAAAATGAGATAGTGGACTTTGAGATTTCGTAAAAAGGAAGGTGTTTTTTCCTCGTTTTGTGAGGCGATTGAGGTATTACTTTGGCGTGAAATATGGTGATATAGTCCCGGCAATAGCTGCATCTTGGGTTTTATTTGTTTGCAAGCTCTTTACCGATCAAATATTGTTTACTTTCATTTTTAAATTTAAAACTTATTTTTTTATTATGCATGTAAAAAGAATTCAGCTGTATTGTAATTCAGCTGAAAAAAAAGGTCATGAGGGGCTTAGGTCAAATGCAGTATGATTCATCGGTTAGATTTATACCATTGAAAGACGTAAGTGCTTTCTCTTTGGATGACATAAGTGATATTAAATGGCAGCCAAATAATGCAGCTACAGCCTTGTCTTTTATCTTTCCTCGATCATTGCTGTAGTAACTTTTGAGTTGAGCTATGTTTAATCTTATGTAGTCCATTTATCCTGGAAACATAAATTTTATTTGTATTATCTTTGCAACATTGTTCTTTGTCCCTATTTATATTATATACTTTTTGATATGCAGGCTGTAGTTACAAACCATTTAATTGTGAGGGGTAACTATCGCAGTCTAAGTCTGGTTATTTATGGCAATACTGCAGAGGATCTTGGTCAGTTCAATATTGATGTTGACATGGATAGCTCTCTAGCAAATTTAGTTTATTCTTCTTCAGAGGGAAAGATTGAAGATCTCCCCCCACCTTTGCGGTCAATGAAGTTACCACTCGAAGATTCCATATCATCTTTAAAATCATTGTCCCTTCCTGTTCCTGTGTCAAATCTTTCAGCTGACATGGAGGAGTTCTTACAGTTGGTTTTTAAAATCTGCCAAATTCCTGATCTTGCTGATGCACTTTGTAAAGTTGTAAGTGCTGTAGTATCATTGATATCATCCTATGTCTCTGGTGGTTTTGGATCAGCAATGACAATCTGCCGCCAGAAATTTGGTGATGCCACAGAATGGAGAAAGAATCCTCAGCATGCTTCTAATGCCCTCACTGATGCCAGAGATGAGCTTCGTGCGCTCTATGAGAATCATCTATTGTCAATTGAAAGCAAGCAGAGTAAATTATTTGAAAATGAAGTGCCTGAGGCTAAGTCCATGTCGACAAATTCAGAGTTGCTAGTTTATTTATTTGGTCAGTGTTTTCCATTTTATGAGGAAAGTAATACTCATGGACATTTATTACTTTCTCAGGTAAATGCCTAGTTAACTTTTAGCGTGTTTCTGGAAGTGACGTACCTCTTCTCTTTTGCTATGCTCAACTCGAACTACTTCTAATTCTATGTGTTACTTGTTTCAGAACAAAAACATGGTTTTAAGATTGGGGGTCACTCTTCTTTTGTGTTCTGCCAAGGAGAGTTGCTTTTGGCTTGTTAACAATGGTGGAATGGAACAAATTGCTAATACATTTTCTTCAGAGGTTCAAAGTTCTGCTGCTACTACCTTACTTCTTCTTTGCGCTGTTGAACAAGCCACTAGGCATGCCATTGGATGTGAAGCTTTTCTTGGATGGTGGCCACGTAAAGATATTGATGTGCCAGTTGGTAATAGTGATGGTTACTGCCATTTATTGAGCTTGTTAATGCAGAAGCAGCGACATGATATTGCTTCCCTTACTACGTATATTCTACACCGTCTGCGTTCCTATGAAATTGCAGCGAGATATGAGGTCTTGATACTGTCTATGCTAGTAATCGTGGGTGTTTACAAATAAACTCTTTTAAGATTCAAAATGATGGATTTTTTTTGTTTTTGCAGTCTGCAATATTATCCCTGTTGACGAACCTATCTGTTGATTCCTTGGGTGCAACTGACAGAATACATTCACTTGTCACTGCCAATTCTATGCTGAAAAGTATTTCGGTTAGTCTTTTTTTTTAACAGTTATGACTTATTGGTATTCGTTTAAGCATTTTCAGGGTGTAAAATAGTATAAATCAGTCTGAAGCATGATTTAATGGTTATAGTTTAGTGCAGAAAATGTCAGATTTGAACTGTCCATATGTATTAACCATTAACTGTAAGAATCTTTTTGGTTTCAACTTCGATGAAGAGGAGAATCTGTGTTCCCTTGCGTATCACTGACAAGTGCTATTTGAATACTTAGACAATCCAGATTTATCCTGTGCATTGCTTTACATCATATTTCTATTGCATAATTTTGTTTAATATAGAATGTGTTGCCAGTCAGATGCTTAATACGGTTTATTCCTATTTGTCATCATCAATGCAGTGAATTCTTAGAATTTAATTTCCCTTAATTTAGGACAACTTTGGAAAGAGAATCCAGACGTATCTGTAAATGAAATTGTACGAGATTCCAATCAACGTGCAGCTAATCTTTTTGAAAGTGAATTGTTACCTCATGTTCATCAAATTCAGATAGTCATGCTTTGATGCATAATTTTGGTTTCCTTCGTTGAAGAATTAATGTGAGCTGGTTTTGAAGCTTCAGCCATTCACTCATCTGCTCCCTTGTTCCAGAAATTGTTGAACTTGCGAGTTCCAGTTGAAGATCCCTCTCCAGCAGCTTTGGTGAAGTCGTCTGCACAGGGTCAAGAAGAACTATTGTCTTACAGGGCAACTGTAGATTTTATTTCTTTGTCAAAGCATAGTCTTTGGGACATCGATGCACAGTTGTTAACCCTTCTCAAGGTAGGTTAATGTTGTAAGATTAGCAGGACTTTAATTTGTGTTTTAATCACAAAATCTTCTTATAATGAGACAGATCTTTTTATAAATATGGGACTGGGATTACAGTGATTATTCTTTCCAATCATTAAAATGTGGACAAGCAAAGTACTCAGAATAATTTCTGAGTTCAGGTTGGCGGTTCCTTTTTCTACAAGAAGCTATGCTATTGGGTTTTGAGTGATCAGATGAGAAGTTAAATTCTTTTCTGCCAAACCCTTGTTCCCAGGCAAAATGAGCGAATATAAATGAGACGCTAATAAATTTCTCCCTGTAAAAGAGATGTATGTTTGTGCTCACGTTTGTTGGTAGGTTAGATTGGATTTCTTTTTTTTGGGAGAAAATATTCTGATAACTTCTCCCTCATTTTGTTTTCCTCTCCTCTCATTTTGCCTACCAATTTCGTGCTATAATAGATCACCTAAAAGGGCACTCTGTATTATCTGGTCCACCTGGTGTTGGAATTTGTGTTGTAAATGAAACTGATGACGACTAAGTCAATTTAGAATGACAAATATGTACTTACCAGAACTAAAAACGATTCCAATAGGCTACCTGATTCAGAATTCAGCAACAGGCGTCATGCATCTGTATTTAAATATATGATGCTGCTTCTGAACTCTACAGTTGGTGTGTGTTCATCATTAGTTATGAATAAATTGTTGCAGATATCAACTATATCAGTGTTTCTCTTTAAAACATATCTCATGAGAATAATATCTGTTTCCATATCAAAATATTGAGATAAATGTCAATTTCCCTACCGGAGTCAAGAGACGTAATATGATCCCGCTTATTGGGTTTTGTTATCAGAAACGACTTTATCAAATTCAGTCTCCGCGAAATATCTGTTAATGTGGGAAGTAAAAATTCTTAAGCTATGCTTTTTTATTACTGTTGCTAGTGAATGTTCTCTTCTACTAATGCTACATGTCTTCTTTACTGTCAACTCTTCTGTAGTTTTCTCACTAGTTTTCGTTAGTATTCTTTAAAATTCTTTTCAAATATCCTTCAAATGGATAATTCACTTGTATGGTTTTGTTGAAATAGGAAAGAGGGTTTCTTCCTCTATCAGCTGCTTTATTGTCGTCGTCCATTTTGCGTTTGGGAAGTGGTAGTACAATGGAGATTTTTATGGACATTGCTGCATCCATCGAGCTAGTACTTCTGACACTTCTTGGCTGTCGCTCAGGTTTCTATGACTGTGTCCACCGGAATTTTTTCAAGATATGTGTTACCTGTTGAACCTTACATCTTGTTTGTACGCCAGGTTTAACCTTCCTGCTTCTTCAGCCAGAGGCAACTGCAGCTCTGGTTTCATCCCTGCAAGGATTTGAAGATTCAGACAAGGCAGAATATGTTACTATTAGACATGCAGCAGTTCTAATATCAAAAGGTTTCTTTTGCCGTCCACAAGAAATTGGGATGATTGCAGAGCTTCATCTTAGAGTGGTAAGGAATCCCATTACCCACAATTAGGGTCTGGCTCATAGGACTAGGGGTCTGACTTCATTCCGACTCCTGTTTGACATATGTGACAGGGTTACTCCTTGATCCGACTTTGTTCTGACTCAATATACTTGAAAACTGAGTAAGATCACAGTGTATCTTTCTCACTTGAGTTGAACCGGTCCACTGAGTTTTTAAGTTGTTACTATATGTTATATTTGGCCCTAGATTCTCAAGTTTTGGACGATTTTAGTGTTCTTCATAAAATTGTGGATTCTCTATTTTTCGTACACTTTGAGGACTTTTTTTAACGCTAGTTTATCTTTATTGATTTACATTTTCAAGTTTTAGGCTCTTTAGGGTCTAGGTGCTCAAATAAAGTGTTAGAATTGCATAGATCGAAATGAATGAGAGAGAATTCAGTAAATTGGAAGGTTTTACTTTAAAATGGAATATATCATTGCCCAGAATTGCGCATCTTCTTTCATGTGACGTTTTGATTGCTCATCAATCAAGAAGTCAACTAAATTAGTGTCATTTTAAATTGGTGTCAAATGGAACCTTTATGTCTGGATGTTCACCTCACTATCAGCTTGACCATAGGGATCTCTACTGGTTGGGCTGCAACTTTGGGCCTGGTCGTTTTTTTAAAGGTCCTGTTTTGCCCTTGCCCCGAGACAATCCCATAAAATGGTCTCTTGGTGACGCTTCAGGACGGGGTAGGGTCAGGGGTGGTTTGGAGATGGTTCCTACCCATACTTTTTTGTCTGATTTTGACATCTAAGGCCATATCCTTGATTCAGTGTCATGTTGAGAATTTGATGTTAATTTAGCTGCAAAATTGGATTGTCTAGATTGTTGTCTTCTAATTCTGTTGTGCTTTCTGTTTAATTTCTTCATTGGTATTCCTCACTTTGTGTTCCTTTAATCTATAGGGGATCACCATTGATCGGCTGCTGTCATCTCCTCCTCATTCTGAAGAGCAACTATGGACACTTTGGGAGCTTTGTGCGATTTCCAGGTGGAGCGATTTGTGTTTTATATGTCCAGTTTGCTTCTGTTTGGTGATTTTTGTAACGTAAGAGTAGTTCCGCAGGTCTGATTCTGGACGTCAAGCATTGTTATCTATTGGGCAATTCCCTGAGGTATCTTTTGCTTTTTATGATAATATTGCCGCTCAACTGTCTTGAAAAATTGTAATTTAACTAGCATAGATTATGTAGAATAGGCCAAAACTCTATGTTTTATGACTAGCTAATGTTCTTTGGTTAGATATGGTTTCTGCTCTGCAATACATAGTTCTCTGTGAAGGGTTTTCATATTACTTTTCGTTTTACCTACTGCTGATTGTTTATTTATTTGTGTTGTAGGTAGTATCAGTTCTGATCCAGATATTGCGCTCTTTCAAAGATATGGAACCAGTTGGCGTAAATGCTGGTTTGTGTGGAGGCTGGACTTTTATTATGCTTTTTTCTGTTTGTTGGACATTCCTGTTTCTCTTTTGGGGTCTGCATCTTTTCAACTTATTCAAGAACTCAATATTACAGGTAGTTCATCATTAAGTCTTGCGATTTTTCACTCCGCTGCTGAGATTATTGAAGTCATTATCATGGATTCAAATGCAACATCACTGGCTTCTTGGATTGGACTTGCTGCTGATCTTCACAGAGCATTACACACCTCCTCACCGGGATTTAATAAAAAGGATGCTCCTACCAGGGTGCTGGAATGGATAGACGCTGGTGTTGTTTATCACAAAAATGGGGCAACTGGTCTCCTCCGGTATGCTGCTGTTTTAGCTTCCGGTGGAGATGCTGGAAACGTTCTTGTGTCAGACTCAGTGGACATTGAGAATGTTGTCGGAGATTCAGGCAGTGGTTCTGATTCTCTTTTTGTGGATAATCTCCTCGGAAAGTTTGTCTCAGACAAGTCATTTGATGGTGTTGTCCTTCACAACATGTCTATGGTGCAGCTAACAACAGCATTTAGAATTTTGGCGTTTGTTTCTGAAAATTCGGTAAGTTTTTTCATTTAAGGAATCTGTGGCGTCTGCCATATTAGTTTGATCCGTTTCCCGCTGATTTTGTGTTCTGTTGGTGAAGACTGTGGCAGCATTGCTGTTTGAAGAAGGAGCAGTGACACTTGTATGTATGATCCTGATGAATTGTAGATTTATTCTTGAGCGATCATCAAACACCTTTGGTATGTGTTTTACATTTTACTATGCTTAATATTGCTGGGCTCAAGTTTGGCCCATTTTGTGCGCAAACTGCTTGGACTGCAGAGATATTTGTTCTTGGACAATCATTCCTCTTGTAATCACTGTTAATCATTTCATTCTATAGTTTTTCATCTTACATTGTAAATGCCTTAACATGACTGTGAAAACTTCATCAACTTCAAAGGGATGAACTGCCTGATTTGGTGAAAACTGGATTTCTTTTCTTTCAGTCTTCAAATTTGTACGAATATTATTTTTATTCTGCAGCTTTTATAGTTAAGAAAACAGTTGAAAGGTTCCTTGGGGCTATCATTGTTGGTAGTTTGCACCGTATTGTTGTGTTATATGTTTTTAGTGAGATAGTAGTCATATGAAGGAAGATTGAAAAGGCATTTGATGGGCAGGAGACAAAGTTGAAGAGAAAGTTCGGAAGGGAGTTGCTGAGGGTGAACCATGTTCGATTTTAAATAACGGGATTTTTTTTTTAAATACAATGCTATTCAGTTTATATAGGATTCTGTAATTTTGGAACTGTTGGACAAATTGAAGTTCACATAAGTGTGCATTGCTGGAGATGGTTACTTCTATTATGTTTCAATTAACTCTGAATGAGAGAAGATCTGTGTGGCTTTGGTTATTGATCCATCATTTTTTTGGCTCAGTATATTTTCTTTTTCTCTAAAGAAGCTGTATTTGGGAGACTTTTGGGGATTAATCCCCTGTGGTATATTATGTGATGCTTATGTATCAGTCAAAAAGAGGAATTCGGAAAGAATATCCTAGCTTGCCCTGCATATTGTTGGTCTACCTCATTGTAGTGTTGAGAGATATAATAATTTAATACTTGGTGGGTGAAGAGAAGATTACTCCTTAACACAGCCATGGACAGCCTGATGAAGGCGTGAACTAGGAAAGGGTGACATACTCCTGTGAAAGTATATCCAGTAACGAATTCTGGCCTTTTCGATGCGGAAAATGGACTGACCACATTCTCTAGAAAGAAGCTATGACAACTGAAGAGCTGCTTGTGGTGGCTACCTGCAGTACATACATTTGAGGACGTCTTATTAATTGAATTAGTATTAAACAAACCGCTATTGCAAACCATCTGATTCCTTGCGGGGTAGGTTGTAAACCTTGGTCATTTACATGAGGGCATGAATAGTAGGAAGATGGAAATGGAGTAACGTTTGTATACCTATAACAGTCTAGCGCTAAATGAAGGGTTTTCATGCACTTTTTGTACGTATTGATTGTGCTTGCTTCTTCATATTTATGCTCATGATAGAAAGTTCAATAAGTTGACTTGATTCCAGATCAAAACTAACAAATTTAAGGGGAGGTAGGAATTGCTGGCATGGGCATTGTCTGTGTTAGTGCCATAGGGGGAATGCTATACCTGATGATCTTTGTTGTTGAAGTTTGTAACAGAGGTGGGTTATAGTTTTGCGGTCTCGGTATAGTTGAACCATTTCTAAGGAGTCAAACTTTCTACAAGGATCAATTTAGGTTTCTGTCTCGTGCCCTTTATCGTATGAAGTTAATATAGTGATAATTGTGTATACATGAATTTATTTCTGTATTTTTTTGTCTTATTTGTACTTGTTTCTTTTTTGTTCCTTGATTTGTAACGCTGCAATAGGAAACCCATGTCTGTGCTTGCTCCTTTTCATATTTTTGACACCTATATAACTACACAGAAGTTTGGGTTATAACTCATTTGGATTTCGTTTTGTTGACGTTTAGTTGCCAACAGAACTTCAGCTTCTAAGTCTTATGATCAATATTTTAAAATGTAGCCCTTTGGTTGTAGTGAATGTATCGTTTCTGCCATTGGTGGTCTGATCCTACTTAAAGAACTTAATTTCATGTCCTGTAGAACCTTAGTTCCATTACGCTATATGAATGGTTATATTTATTGAAAGGTCTTTTTTTCTTGCAGATTATCTCGTTGATGAAGGAACAGAATGTGGTTCTACATCAGATTTGCTTCTGGAACAAATTCTTGAGCAAAGTGTGGTTGAACTTATGATTCCTTGTCTAGTTCTACTGATTAATCTTCTGCAGACATTACAAGTATGTTATTAAATTCACATGTTTGAGCATAGCCTTTTCATTTTTATGCTTTTTTGCTACTTTTTTTAAACAATAGAGCTAACATAGATCCAGTCGACCTTGTATCTAAGCCTATCATTCAGGTGAACACACATTTTTTTTCTTGTTTGTTTTGAAAAGATGTTGATCAATTCCAATTCTTTCTTTTTATATCGATTCTTTTCTGATCGAGATGTATGGATCCATGGATCTGTATCTTTATGGACCATGATCATGGATGAACGAAAATGTGTCAAATCCCTAATTGCCCCTTCCATCTTGAGTCTAAGTTCTCAGATCTACCCATTTTGATTTGGAATTTACATATTCAATTTGAAATCATCGGCCAATTTTTTATCTATTCAATGTTTTCATCCTGGGGCAAGTCATCATCTTCAGAGGTTTCCCTTTATTGAAGGCATTTTCTTTTTAATAATTTGATGTAGTTGATTTCGATCTTCTTCAAGTCAGCTAGTGGCATCCTGTTGGTAGGTTTCACAGTTAGGTATGCTGTGTAAGAACTTTGCCTTGATTCTATCGAATCAATCTAAAGTTTTGAGTGTTATTCGTGATGAGCGTAGTGCTTGTTGTCATGTGGGTTTGAGGCTTTTTCTCATAAGCCAAGTCCCTACTTAGACCATCTATTTCTCTTCGGTTGGAACAGCGAAGTAATGCGCCAAGATTTATTAGTCATTTCTCCCATCAACTTGAATTATATGCCCTCCAGGATTAATGCTTGTTAGATGTGTATTTGTAGTTTCTGATGCGTGCTTATTTGTTTGTATTATCATTTTTCTCGTAACTCCTTTATTTTCTGTATCCAATAATTTTCTACATTAGAATGACTCATGAGTATCCTCATTCCTGGCATTGCCTTGCAAGCCCCTTGTAGATAAATTTACAATGCCCAACTACTTTGGTTATTAATGTTTTCTATTAATCTTTGATCTTGCAGGAGGCTAAAGAACAGTATCGGAATACGAAGTTACTCAAGGCTCTTCTACGATTGCATCGAGAATTAAGGTGAATCAGATTATTTTCATTTTGTTATGTATGCATATATGAGTAAAAGTTCATACCATTTTTCGCGTGCATTTGTCATGTTACGTATGCCTTACAGTGAAATGTCTTTGGCTGTTCTGAATAAGGATTGTCCATGTTTTTATGGTGAATTTTTTGCTGCTGTAGTCCAAAGCTGGCAGCATGTGCAGCAGAATTATCTTTTCAATATCGTACCTCAGCCCTCAGTTTATGTACTGTTTGCCGTCTTATTGCGTCTGCACTGGCATGTTGGCCAATATTTGGTTGGACACCTGGCTTATTTCATTGTCTTCTGGAAAGCATTCAAGCGTCATCATCATTAGCTCTGGGCCCGAAAGATGCTTGCAGTTTCCTATGTCTTCTGGTATGGACCACTTCATAATCATAACTAGTTTGCTTTCTAGGATCCTGGATGTGGTAACTGTCTTCTTGTCACCAATCGTCTCTGACCTCCCATTAACTTTTGAATCACGCTGCTTTGTTAACTTAATCAACTGTTACGTCTGAACATCATCTGACCCCTCTATGTTTCTTGTTCTGGAAGGGTGACCTATTTCCAGAAGAAGGTATATGGCTTTGGAGGAATGGAATGCCCTCACTAAGTGCTATTAGAACATTGAGTGTTGGAACAATATTAGGTCCTGAAGGAGAGAAATTCATTGAATGGCATCTCCAGCCAGAACACCTGACAGTACTGCTTGGTCGATTGACACCTCAGCTTAATAAAATTGCACAGATTGTTCTACATTTTGGCTCTACTGTGAGTAATATTATTATATTCCGTTTTCAACAGACTCGCAAAAACTTAATATTTCTTGCTCACGTGACAAATTTATGATGGTATGATCAGGCCTTGGTGGTTGTTCAGGATATGCTTCGAGTGTTTATAATTCGCATATCTTGTCAAAGGGCAGAGTGTGCTGTTCTTCTGCTGGAACCAATTATATCATGGATTAATGATCACATTAAAGGAATAACTGGTCAGTCAGAGACGGACCTCTTCAAGGTAGGGTTTTAAACCTCTTTTTCTTTGTCTAATGGGAAATTTCTTTATATTTTCTGTTATGCTTTTCAGATGTACAGATTGCTTGAGTTTGTTGCTAGCTTGTTGGAGCATCCATATGCAAAGGTTCTGTCCTGTGGCTATTCTCTTCAAACAGTTGTTATTGAATTGGAAACATTGTCTTATTTTTACCTTTTCCTTCTGTCAGGCATTGTTGTTGAAGATGGGGATTATGAAGATCCTAAAACAAGTACTTGAACAATGCGATGAGGCATATATTTTAGAAGAGAAGCTAGTATCTGAGAACAGAATACCTGTTAAAAGTTCGGAAAATATACTTAACTTCTGCATGCCTTCTTTCAAATCATTGGCGTTAATTTTTGATTCCCGTGAAACCAAACCCAATGCCTGCTTATATGACGAGTGAGTAATCTTCAGAAAACTTACTAGTTTAAATGTAAATCTGTGCAAGACCGCTTATTGTTTCTTGCTTCTGTAGGACCTCCATTGAGAGTACAAGTACGCAGGATTGTTCTAGAATTATGCTGCTTATCCTCAGGTTATGCAAGGTACGTGAAATTGAGTTTGGTTTCATCTTTTTCGTGATATAAGCGTCATCAGTTAATCTTTTGTGATAGGTCCAGAAATGTTCCTTTGTTTTCATGTTCAATTATTTGGTACAAGATTCCTGGTTGTAAATATTAAATGCTGAGGACCTACCAAAAGTTCCTTGATAGTTAGTTTAGAGATATTTCTAGATTCTGAATTAGAATGTTAATTATGCTTGTCTCAGTTAAGCTAGAAAGCTCTTGGAATTGGCTTAGTATTTCTTCTAGTTAGCCTTTTGGAAGGCTTGCACCATGCTCATTGTTTGCCTTCCTTCTAGCTAGAAAGCTCATTGTCTATTCCATGCTGGATACATTGACATTTGCATGTGTTCCGATTACATAGCCTATGCTGGATACCGAAAAATACTTAAAAGAAAATAAATAATTTCCCTATCATTTTATGAAATGAAATCCATTACAGAGTATTAAATATGTCCACTTGATATACAGCGAAAATGGGAATACATATGCCACATTTAAGTGAAATACGATAAACATGGCACTAAGCGGGCTGATTAAGGTTTATGAATCTTGGTTGTGTAAGTGCTTATTTATTCTGTGAAAACACGATTTTCTTATGATCATATTTGTGTCAATTTTCGTCACTGATAGTCATAATGCTATTAATGTAAATGGAGCACCGATGAATGTGTGGGGGAATATCATGAATGTCTACACCGGAGGATCTTCGGATGGCTGCTAAGTACCATGGCCTTACCTTGGAAAGCCACCGATAAAGGGCTTTCAAAATGTCCCTAATGCTAGTGGTGGGCCAGATGAGAGAAAAGGCAGAGGTTTGTGGGCATATGTGAGTGTTTTCGGCAATGGTACTTTAGCATAGACAAGCACTTCAAGATATACTCCAACTACCACTGGTTTCAGGTTGTTTTCAGGATGCACAATCCCCTGCAGAATTCACAAGTGCATATGTTGTGATTCTTTTACATTATCTCCTTTTTATCAGTTATTTTTTAAATGACAATGGATTTGAATTTAGCGACGCTTGGTCCCCCATTTCATTCGATAGCTCAAGTTGTGGTGTCTGGCCAGTGGGCTGGGCATATTTGTGTTAAATTTTTTGATGTGCTGACATTTCTTTCTCATCAGGCTCTGCCAGTTGGGAGAGAATTGCTTGGTTGTCTGTTGTCTTTTAAGGAACTGGTTTCCTCCACGAAGGGAAGGAGTGCCCTTTCAAGCATCTTTTTGCAGACTCCATCGCCAGGGACCAGAGAACAAATTGAGAAGGAAAATGGGAGCAATCTTCCTGACATCTTTGACTGGGGCAGCTCTCCTCCCTTTTTAGTTTGTTGGAGAAAACTATTGGGCGCCCTGCATATAGAAGACAATGCTTCAACTTATGCCGTTGAATCTATTCATTTACTGTCTCTGAGTGGTTTGTGCATTTGCATGGAAGGTAAAAAGTGAGTTCTGGAACACAGGTTATCTTCTTCTTTTCATTTGCATATCCTTTATGGAAAAGTATTGAATATTTTCTTATGCACGTAACGAAAAGAGAAACTGTTTGATTACTATGTTTAAAGTAGTAGAAGAGAGAACATAGTCCTCGTAATGAATGAATGGGCCAAGCATCGTTTATTTTAAATTTAGAACCTCACGTTTCTTAATTACTTGAATGTGCTTTATTGACAATATGTGAAGATGATACATGGTTTCTCGGTGCATGATGAATAAATGGGCCTCCTCTACTATTTTTCCGGTTTTTCTCTATCTAGAAATAAAGGTTTGTGTGTGCTGGATTTAAAATTGAGTTTCATACTTTTGTCCGTTTGTAATACTTTTCGATTAGATTTAACTTTTTAACGTTACTGACTGTCCTGTAAAAGAAAATTCTATGATGTCCAATATGACAACAAAACTATGGATTTCTCCGTGCATTTAATGTACATAAGTATAAGAAGGAAGATAAAATGAGGGTAAACGATGGAAGTGATAAATCAACCTAAAAATATTATAAGCTAAGGCACATATTTTCTTCATTGTCAATATCCCATCTAAAACATCGTCTTTTATTTTGTCTGGGCAGCTTGGAGGGAATTTCAGCATTGAAATCCCTTTTTGGGCTTTCTTCTGACAAGGATGGTGCTGTTGCTTCTGTTGAATCATTAAAGGATCTGCACAAAATGATCTCTGTGCTGGATCAGAGAACCAGCGAAGATGAACTCGTAGCCTCATCCACAATAAAGGTATTATGTCAAGTACGATGTCTGTGGAATTATCTTTTTTTTTTATACTTATTATACAGTAATAGTAAAACATTTGAATACTCGCATGATTCTGTGTGTGCTAATAGGTTAAAGAAGCTGTGAAGTCAATGGTGTTCCTTCTTCAGAAGCCTGAATCTTCATCGTTCAAGGTGGAAGGCCTAGTTCCTTGTGAAGATTCAGCTTCCATGGATGCCGTATTGTCACCTGTGGTGACCCCGTCATCACCATCTGTTCCATTTAGCAGAACTTCAGATCTAGCCAAAACATCAAGTCATTATGCACATGTGTTGAGATCCAGTGGAGATTATGAAAATGGTATCTACAACAGTTTCGTTGGTGCCCACTCAGAAAGATTTGTTTGGGAATGCCCTGACACTGCACCTGATAGATTGATGATGCCATCAGTACCTACAAAGAGGAAACTTGCATCATCAGAGGGCTCCACTCGGCGCTCACGGGATAGTTCTCTCCCAGAGGCTGTAGGTTCCAATGGATTTCCTCGGGGGGTGGGCAGCATGAGCAGCAGCTCTGTCCCAACTCGAAGAGATACATTCAGACAGCGTAAGCCTAATACAAGCAGACCACCGTCCATGCATGTGGATGACTATGTTGCACGAGAGAGGAACACTGATGGAGCAGTTAGTGGTGCCAATGTTGCAAGCTCTCAACGTGGAGGAATGTCAAGTGGGAGACCTCCTTCAATTCACGTGGATGAATTTATGGCAAGGCAAAGAGAGCGCCAGAATTCTTCACCTGCAACTGTTGGGGATGTGGTTCAAGGGAAGAATGTGGTACTCATGAATGGGAATGAATCTGAGAAAGCAGATAAGTCGCAGAAATTCAAAGCTGACCTCGATGATGATCATGAAATCAATATTGTCTTTGATGATGAGTCAGAATCTGATGATAAGTTGCCATTTCCCCAACCAGATGATAATCTGTTGCCTGCTCCTGTAATGATTGGGGCAGGTTCCCCTGGTTCAATAGTTGAAGAGAATGAATCCGAAGTAAATGAGAATAATGCTCGGATTTCTCAGATCACCACCCCGCACCGATCTGATATTGGGAATTCAGATTTAGAAGTTCATTTGAGAAGAAGACACATTTCCCAAATGGAAGCGTCAATGTCTTCCGAAAAGAACTATCCTAGGTCAATGAAACAAAAGACATTCTTCCAGGAGCAGTCCTCAGATTCAAAGTATGTGGCTCCTACGTCAAAGGGATTTGATAACACACCGCAGACAAGTGTGAACGCTTTTCCTCAATTCTATAATATTAGTCATTCACAGTCATCAGGACAGTCATTGGGAGACACTCAACTCTCTCAAGCTACTTTTTATCCAAGGGATAGCCCACAGAAGGGAGGCAGTGCTTCATCATCTACGGGGCCTCAGGGCTATCACGAAAATAAATCGCTTATCAGTCAGCCACCTTTACCGCCTACTCCCCCTCCAACAATTTCATCAATGCCGCTTCAGACTGCCCAATCTGTGCAGAGCTATGCATCTGGGAGAGATGTGCAACCTCCACTTCCTTCAGGATTTCCGTTACAAGGATTTGACATTAATGGTCCTGGCTCAGTGTCAGTTCCTAATTTCCAAGTAAGCGAAAGTATTTTGTCGATGGCGATTCTAGTTGTATTGTACTTTCCATGCTAGAGTTCCAATAACTTCTAACTGATTGGGTCATTTTTCTAAGCAGGTTTATTCTGAAAAGTTGTCTTCTATTGCGGCGAACAACTCCACGCCATCAACAGCTCAGTCTGCGGTAGATTCCAGATATTCTGTGCCTGCTAGCAATAAGTTGAATGCTGACAGTTATGCGTCAAGCTCTTCTACGAGAACTTTGCCACCCCTCCCAACAACACTTCCTCCATTTTCTAGTTCTCTTACTCAGTCATCGATCATGCATCCTGGCCCCCAGCCCTCCGTATATACTCAGGCTACTCAACTTTCTTTGTCATCCACTCCCGGAATATTTTCTGCCTCAGGAGGTAGTTTAACAACGTATTCACTTCCTCCATTCACGCCATGGCAAGCACCCATATCTGGTTCTCTTTTTAGCTCTGTCAATATGCAGCCTAGCCAAAATCAGCCAGCTCTGTCACAGCAGATAACCGGTCAATCTTCTGTACAATCTGTGCAACCCCGTCCACCGCCACCACCGCCTCCACAGGCACCCCGCCCTTCTCATCCTCAACAACAGTCCAGGGCTGGTGTTCAGTTTTCGCAGCTGCCATCTGAGCAAGTTCTTTCGTTGAGAAGTCCTATTCAAGTACAAGTGCAGCCTCTCCAGTCTCAGCAGCAGCTACAGATTCCTCAGCTCCTGTATTATCAATCTCAACAGCAGGAAAAGATTATGCTCCCACCTCAGACATCTCTTGAACAACCTCAACCACAAAATCTTCTGTCTCAATCTGATAGTAAGCTTCAACAACAGGATCCTGGAATATCACTGCAGCATTACTTCTCTACTCCTGAAGCTATTGAGGTATGTAATGTGCGAGACAAAGCTTCTTGTGAAATTTCATATGTGGCTTTCTAACGATTTATTTATTCCACTCTGTTTTGGTCTGCTTGGCAGTCACTGTTGAATGATCGAGAAAAACTTTGCCAGATTCTAGAGCAGCATCCTAAATTAGTCCAAATGCTCCAGGTTAGTGAGTCTACATGTCTCATGGTGTGTATCTCTGGTAAATTGGAACAAAGTTTTAAGAATATTATTTTAAATGATGGATGGTTAGAGATGATTCTAGGTTCAACAATCAAAAATTTTGGTTTGTTTTATCCCAAGATATGAATAGCACCAAAATGCATTTGCTGATTAGCGACTAATATTTTTGGTCTTTTGATAATAATGAGCTGCGTTAGTTTAATAATTTTATGTGCAATCGGCATGTTGCTCATAGGTGGTGATGAGATTATTAGCCAATCAAACTGAATGAGTTATTAGCCAATCGGCATCTTAGAAGTTCTGTTTTGAGTAATGCCGAGTATTATTTATATGTGCGCATGGCCATATATTTTAATTTATGATTTCCCTACCTAACGGTGCGCTGATCGCATTACCTTAAAGACCGCAATGTTTGGCTTCCATCACTTGGATGATATCAGCAGGGTTTCGACGGATGAGGCAGCCCTTCCAGCTCCAGATCCTCCATTTCCATCCTCGTTTTCACCGGATGAAGTTTCTGTTCTTCATTGAGAGGCTTCTTTTTCCTAATGTTCAGGAGCGGCTGGGGCAGATATAGAGGAGCCGGTGGAGTCGAGTCGAGTCGAGTCGGACGCCTCTCCAGCGGCATTTATCTAACCCATTCATGAGATCATCAGATCGTTACGGGTCAACGCCATCTGTCTTCTACTCACTCGCCTTTGCTTTCGCGGGCCCCGTCTGATCTCGGGCTTCAGGAGAGGGAAGCCTCTGCCAGCTGATGGCCTACCGGCTACTACTCCTCTAGAGTTCCGCCGGAATTTATCAAGTGTACCATAATCTGTGAATATTATTGCAAGGATTGTAATGTGTACAATTTTGATCAGATTCTTACCTCATAATCTCCTCTCCTCCCTTCTTCCTGTTTATGAGAGACTGAGCTCAATGGATGGCAGGTCATTCCCATCTCATAATATCTTTACCCTCTCGTTACCTTATTTTTCTGCCATGCTCTCTTCTTCTCTCAATCCAGAAGCGGAGGGGTTGCTTCTTCTCGTTACGCCGCGAAGAACACCCTATTTAATGTTCTTGGTGAAGATAAGGCGGGTCCGATGCAGAATGTTGAACGGCAGAACATCCTGTTTAATGTCAGGCTGCGACTCTTTGCCTGGTCTCTCGTAATAATAAATAAATAGATTGAATATGGACTATCGACGGTTCTCTCAATCCGAGGTTGACAAGATATATTATTTGCACATGAATAAAGCATATAGAAATTTAGAGATAAGAACTCTGCTTACGATCATATCTGAAATGTGTGAAGAAGTAAGATTTTAGAGGAAATTCAAGCATCCCCCTTTCATAAAACCACAAGAAATCCAAGCCGACAGTTCGATCAAGGGATCGAATTGATTACAGAAACATCACTTCAATTAGTAACTTTTTAGTGAGTAAATTATGTTAATAATCAAAAGAATAGGGACTCATAAAACCTTTGTCATAGAGGACAAATGGGAGAATGGTCGATAAATGACGCAATTTATATGCACTTCTAACACCCATTATATAAGGAGTAACCTATGGTTAACCGGACGGAGGACAGCATCGCCAGGTCAATGCCACTAGATGAAGGGCTCTGTCACTAGGGTTAACCTAGATTTCCAGCATCAACGCCAAAAAAGGGGGATGGGGCGACGCCGGATGCAGGAGCGACGCCAGACAGCCTCTCCTCTGCTGCTAGGGTTCTGAAATTCTAACACTCAACTCTCTTCCGCTGCTAGGGTCCTTAAAACCTAGAACTTGTAACATTTACTCTCAAGATGGACTTTTCCTCCAAAATACCCTCAATCTTTTACAAATATGACTTTAAACTTCCAATAAATTGATCCCACATATCTAGTGGTGATGACTTGCCGATTGTCCCTCGTCAATTAATTGAAGTCTGCAGAGTAGATTAGAATCAGTTAAGATCAAGCTTAAGACACCAACTAGATCCCAATAATTTTATACTTTTTATATATATATAAATAGTAGAGTCAATGAATAATAGTAGTTCATGGACATAGTCGCCACGAGTTTTCACATAACTAGCCATTAAAAGATCAATACAAAAGATTGAAAAAAATTCATTGTGGACGACTCAATGACTGGGTTCGACATCAAGACTTCTCTTTTTTCAAACAAGGTTTATGGCAAAATTCAAAAGTTGACTTATGGGATTAGGGGAAGAAAATAACTGCACAATTCAACACTTGAAGTAGAACCTCAATACAAATGCTGGAAAGATACTAACTAGCAGATATCTTCACTGCTATTTGCAAAAATCACTTGAGAACTAATTTTTAGTATCAAAACCAGCTGCGATTGAGAGGCATCCCTGTGCCATTAAATTATTCCAAATCATTATTACCCGATGATTTGATCCCCTCAATGGATGTGAGGCTGTCCTAACCGCCAGGGGACAAATCTCAAGCTTCACCAGCGACAGAATTTCATATTTACAGACCCCATCAGTCCATGTCTCCACTGAGAATCAATCTGGTGAACCGAAGAAATGTTTGCACTGACGACTCAGCGTTGAGTTGACTTCTTCAAAAAATCTCCGATGAGATCAACAGGGAGCATCGAGCTCAAGCAGCTACCTTCACTGGGGACGCAGTTGGGTGGGGTGGGTGGGTGGGCCACAGCATAGCTCATTTTCTTGGCTTTTCCCTGAACCAGGGCGTGGGCGTTGTTGCCTCTGCCCACATCTGGAAGCTCCGTTCGCTGACAAGAAAACAAGAATTCCAGATCCTTGAACCTCCCAACGATTGAGCTTTCGTAAACCATCACAAAACTTTGACCAGTAGTAGTACGAACACAAAAACTCGGTTGGGGAGACGGCAAAATAGACGAGAAATGCAGATGAATAGGAGTTTTAAAGACCCTTTTCCGAGGGTAGAGAATACTGGGCGCCTAGAGTGAGAGAGGCTACTCTTTCCCTTGTATTTTTCTTTTTTTTATTGAATAGTGGGTCTCAGCAGCTCCAACCATGGATGTCGAGGTTCTCACCCGAGAGCGAAAAATATCCCAAAAGATACAGCATAGGCTACATAATCGGAACCCACATGCTTCCGGGCAGAAGTTAATTGAGACGAAAGCACGAACCATGCATCAAAATTGAATCTATATCACATGAGTCAAAGTTCCCAAAAACCAAGCATATATCATTGAAGGAAAAACAGAAAAAACCCATTTGTTGGAACTTACATGAGGATATAAGGGCTGGCCACAAGTCCAATTTTCAATCAGCTTTAGGATTCCCGCTTGACTCTGATACAAAGAGCGACGCGAGTTTGTGGCGTTGGATAACCATGACCAGGACGTATGCATTAGCAAGGAGGAAGATTATGCTTGCTGCCCACAGCTGAATGAACACATTCTTGCCCTTGAACTCCAACAGGTAGGCCCACATCAGCCAATGAAGTTGGGAGCCCATCCAGACCGATATACAGATTAGGCCCTCAGATCTTAGTTTCATCTTGCTCCAAGGAAGAATTAGAGGCAATAAACAGAAGAACCACACAAAATACTGCGCCGTGATAACCTGCCAAGGAATTGAATCAGGCGAAAGGATCAGAGCTGTGAATCATATATACGAGAGTGTACCTGTTTCCTTGGGCAGAAGAAATCGAAACTTGACATAAATTTGTGTTTGATGGCTAAGATTATTAGCGTAGCTACTCACTCTACCAGAGTGAAACAGGTTATAGAGTCATGGATATATATATATTTTTTTCTTTTTAAAAGGAGATGAAACTCGAGGCAGTTCGCATTTAATGCCTGAGATGAAACTTATAGAGTCAGCCATTTTTCTTAATAACTTTTCTTGGCTATTTATCTCATAACTCAAATGCACCCAAGGAAATGGAAATAATAACCAACCTTGTTGAAGGCGACAAAGGCGACTGTTTGCACGAACATGCAAAATGGGAGGTCTTGAGAGAAGCTCAAGACAAGAACCGCTTGCACTATCAACTGGGGAAAGAAAGCCACCAGCTTCTCGATAACCGAGAACCCATCTTGGTGACGAAGATAAATGTGATAGAAGTAGATTGAGAAGTTATGCCTCGGGTCAGTCCTAGTGAGATGATACAATAGTGCCTCGTTTAAGAATTCCCAGCCGTAAAGGCAGAAGAAAAGAGCCGTACAGAGGAAAAAAATTGAAGCAGAGACCAACCCAAATAGCACCCTGCTTCTTGTTAGAAAACTTTTAAGGCAAATGAAAGGATCAGAAATCATCAACCAGAATGAAGCTTTTAAATTTGCCATTGCTATAAAAGAACTTGGCGCTGAGATATCCTGAGTAGAACTCCACAGCATGAGGGAGGGCTTTCCACGACACTGAAGAACATTTTCATTGAGAACCAGAAGGATTGGCAATGAGTATATGACAGGGTAGATTCTAAAGTGGACGACAAGCCCATACCAAAATGCTGCCTGCAATACATTTCCTGGTGAAAGAAAAGAGAGGAACAAGCAGACAACTGTCAACATATATTCTTCCGAGAGAATTTAAAGCAGAACATCTATTACTCTGAAATTACTACATATAACGCATTTAACCAACACAAAAGGTGAGAATGGAAGAACTAAAACAATTGAAGTAATCTCCCACGTATACAACAATGAAACTGAAACACAATGCTAGCCATTTTTCATCGACACTTGTAATGGCGAAATAAAAAAAGAAGGTATGATGTACAAGGATTTCTGGACATCATTCTGTCCTAAAAAAATATAGATAATTTCCGGAAAGGTAAACTTATGGCATCTTTTCTTTTCACGGAGATTTTCACCCATAAGTCAAAAACACTGCTCTGAATCCTCCATGATGAATGGACCCGGATAAAAGTATAATGCACAAACCAAAGAAAAGCTGCACGAATCGACAAGGTTCAGTGACTATATTGGTTGGTACCACTAACAGCCTGAATCTTTGGTTGGGCAATGGCAACCTGTGTTACACTCGGGTGGCTCAGGTACCATTTATTTATTTTCTTAGTTTTCAAGTGAAAGTATGTCGGGTATGTACTGATATGCCCTAACAGTTAACTAGTTATTCAAAAGAAAAAAAGAAAAGAGAGGGAAGAACATGATGTTACAGGTGCAGTAAATTACCCACTCAAGTTAAGTTTTATGTTCGAGAAATGATATCACATTAATACATAAAATTTAACTTCTTGACAAAAAACGGGGAGTCGCCACACACATTAATGTGTACACTAATGCCCACTGGCAAAGGACATAAAAATCTTGGCATTCATGTGAATTTTATATAAATCCTATACGTGCCCAGCTATTCGAACATCTCCCTGCGGTCCAATAAAAACGAAGGTGCAGTAGAGCACAACACTCGCTAATGCCTACTCGCAAATTTTGGTTATCTGAGGAACTCTGTCGACATTCAGCTATTCACATACTGTTTCTCGAAGCAGCATTCCAAAATCTTTGAAAAATAAAAAAGCAGAGAAAACAGTTGAGCTCGGGTATGTGATTCTCGAGGGCGGAGGGCAGAGAGCACAAACCTTTCATAAGACATATTATGATCCACAGCACGATCGCACAGACAATGGGCTCGCAGTTTCCTCGAGTCCCAATGGTGAAGGTAAAGGGATTAAATAGCCAGGCCACAACACTGTACAGGCGCAATTTCTCAGGGACCTCGCGCAGCTTCAGGATGACGTGAATGAAATACCCAACGAACAAATCTGAGGAATGGAGGAAAGCAGAGGAAGACGAAGAAGAAGAAGAAGAATCAGACATCAAGAGAAATGGTCCACGGGGTACAAAGACTTGACTTCACATGACATCAATCGAAGCTCCGACTGTAGTTCCGACTAGACAAATGCTCGAGCAACTCACGCGCGTATTCCCTTGCAGCCGAGATTTCTATAGAGAAATCCAGAGCACAACAAGAACAATATCGGGGATTCTTCCGATTTACTAGTTTTACAGAGTTTTCAACTAGGCAAATAAACAGATGCTCATCTTACGCGCGCATTATGAGCATTTCCATGATCCGCACAGGGAAGCCCAAACCCTGGACTCGAATGACCCCCCTCCTGAGATCCCTCGAGTTCTATCTAGTTCCTCCCTCTGAGCAGAAGAAGATCATGCATCACTGAGGAGGGGAGAGAGTAGGGGAAGAGGAAGGAATCTTCATCAGACTCACCGGCGGCGGAGAAGAGGAGCTTCCCCCAGCAATGGTGGAGGAGGGAGTTGGGAACGAGGAGGGCGGCGAGGAGAGGGGAATAGCGGTAGGTGGACCGCCGGAATGGGGAAGAACCCGCCGCCATGAGCGCGGCGGCGTCGGAGAAGACGAGGTAGTCGACGTCGGTGTAGCGGACCTCCATGTGGGCGTCCTGCCACTCACCGTACGCCACCAGCAGGCCTCGCAGCACCGCCGAAATCACCATTACCCCCCGCAGATCCACCTTCGAAGGAAGACCCATCCTCCTCCCAAAACCCCCCTCTTTCCTACCACCAAATCTGCCACTGTATAGAGAGAGTGACACACGGAGAGAGAGAGAGCTGTTTTACCAGGCTATCTATTTCGAATCACCCAGCCAGAGGAGAGGGTTCCTGAGCAGCTCCCTCACCTGTCGTCCTGTTTGTTATCTCCCAGCCCTCCTCCTCCGGTCTTGGGCCCGAGAGTCTCTGATTGCAGAAGACGGTGGAATAGAAAAACTGCTGCCTTTTTTCATTCTATTCCCCTATGACCATTAGGCATCTCTCTCTCTCTCTCTCTCTCTCTCTCTCTCTCTCTCTCTCTCTCTTATATGAGGCCCTAATCTTCATCAGGTAGGAGGTACTCAAGCCCTCCATTAGGCCAGGCCTTCTCAAGTTGAAGCATCAGAAAATAAAGCTAATATTTTTTAAGAATAATACAAATACTTTTTCTTGGTTATGACGAGATGAATACACCAAAAACACTTGGACTAATTTCCGCCAGGATGAGGAGCTTAGCTTCAAGGCGAAGGGGGATCGAAGAACAGCCCACCTCCGCCTCCGCCTCCGCCTCCGCCTCCGCCTCCACCTCCATCCATGATTGGTCCAGCTTTAAAGAACACTTGGCCATCCGCGCCCCCCCCTCCGCGTTGACCAGCCGCAGCATCCAAGACTGAATTTTGTGGAAACCCGGGCTGGGTGCTCTTTTTTTCCTCCCCCCTAGAAATCGAGGGAAATATCGGCGGGTGGGGTTCGTCGTCACTTTTCTGACGACGAGAACGATCTGGACGATAGGATGAATATTAGGCAGATCTAACTGTGTAACATCTTGGGTCATTCATTTCGTAAAAGGAATAAGGAAGCGGATATCAGACTAATCAAATAAATAAATAAATAAATAAATAATTTTGCTCTGGAGGCCCGGATAACAATTTTGCTCTAAAAACTGCAAGAAGTTGAGCGTGTTCACATTTTCTCACTGACTTGGAAGATCTGGACGATAGGGACGGACTGAACTGTGTAACATTTTCCTCATTCATTCGGCAAAAATAAAGAAGAAATGTAAGCAAATAAGATGCCCTTCCAAAGCCCTTTTTTTCTCTATGGCAATGGGATCCCAAAAATGGATTCGATCTTTTCTCAAATGTTCTGAACATCAGTGAAACCATTATTCTTTCTTTCTTTCTTTCTGGGGACTGCGAGAAAATCCAGGATGCATATCAGATGGACTTTGGACGGCATGTTATTCATTCATTCAGCAAACCAAACAGAAACAAGAATCCATAAATAAATAAATACAAGGAAGAACTTTATCATACCCGAGTTTCCCGGGAATCGATCTCTGTTGGATATTACTGTTGTAACGAGAGAATAGAGCTTTCCCACTGGTCTTTTCAAACTGGAAAATAAAAAATTAACCCAGAGTCAGAATCCAAGACAAATCTGAAGGTAATTTCTTTAGAAAAAATTCAGAAATACATGAGTGCCTATTCAATTCATCAAAGACCAAGTCACCAAAAGCATTGAATCCCAAACCATAGGAAAAATATACTAAATGCGAATCGTTCCATCTTTGAGAAATGCGCAGGCCCTAAAAATATATGCACCCTTAATTCTACTTTTTTTCGACCCTTTTTCTGGGTAGAATCGTCAAATCTAATACGGATTCATGATGAGTCGGTATAAAATCAGACTGTCCGCAGCGTATCAGTCGGGTTCGCGCATAATGGATCCAACTTTAAACAGAACCGGTAGACCTAGCCTTGGAGAGAGGAGAGGGGAGAGAGGAGAGAATAACGTGAAGTTGACCTGAAGGAATGACTCGACAGAAGCCTGATCATTTGGAGAAAAGGAGACTTCATCTCTTTTTCTCTCTACAAAGTCTCGATTCTGTTCGACCTGCATCACAGGAAGATGACGACCGAGGTCAGAACAAAAATATGACAGTAAAAAACCAGTCATTTCACGATCCAGAAATATCAGCATTTCTATTAGATGGCCAAAGTATTGAAAATCAAATCATAGGGAGAGAAACAATATTCAGATCATAATCTTAGAAATAATAACCCTGATAAATTCTCAGGCATCGTTCTCTCTCTCTCTCTCTCTCTCTCTCTCTCTCTCCATAAATATACAAGTATTGGAACTATATGAAAGTCACTGCTGCCAAGAAGAAGGGATATTCTAAAACGAACATCAAACGGAAGTAAAAAGTTGAGACTAGGCGACGTCATGAGATTTGCTGATAACATCAAGTATCTCGATTTTCAATGTAATCCTCAGATCGATCAATGTCGATCAGATTTGGGCCTGCAGAATCAGATTCATTAATGTCGATCTTGATCCAGACGAGCAGATTATGCAAAAAAGAAGGCAACATGAATTTGCTTTTCAAGGTGATTGGATGCTGACTCAAGCGCAACCAGAAGAATCAGATCAGATTATTGTAGACTTGGGCCTGTAGAATCAGATCGATTAATCTGAATCCTGATCCAAACGAGCAGAATATGCAAACCATAAGGCAACATAAATTTGCTTTTCAAGGTGATTGAATGCTGACTCAAATGCAACCAGAAGAATCAGATCAGATTAGTGTAGAATTGGGCCCACAGAATCAGATCTATTAATGTTGATCCTGATCCAGAAGCACAGATTATGCAAACCATAAGGCAACATGAATTTTTTTTTCAAGGTGATTGACTGCTGACTCAAACACAACCGGAAAAATCAGATCAGATTTGTGTAGAATTGGGCCTGTAGAATCAGATCGATTAATCTCAATCCTGATCCAGGCGAGCAGATTATGAAAACCATGAGGACAGGTTGATCAGTGAGCAAATAATATCAAAACAGGAAGTACGGCCCACCTGGTCTATTAAACGTCTCACCAGACGTCGATGGCTCTCAACGGTTGTTTCTTCAAGGAATCTTTTCAAGACAATAAGAGGAATAGTTACCAATTCCGGGAAAGAGATGCAATAGCTCCACTGAGCAAAGTGGGCCGAAAGCTGCTCAATGGCAGAAAGGATGCATTCCTCTTGGAATCCCCAAGACTTCAGCAGCTGTTTTGGAACCTGGAAGAAGAATGAGGCAGAAATAAAGTGAATCGTATCAGACTTCAATAACGGGCAGCAAATCAAGGATCAGACGTGGGGTCAGAAGAACAAAAACTATACATAGACCCGACAGGTCTACACTAGAGGTGTCTACTCGCCCAGTTTTTCTGGGCATAGCCCTAAGAAACAAGCAGAGAAAATAGATAGAACCCGTAGATTGGCGTCAAGATATGCCAGACCTGGGCCTTCATATGGCCTGCCCTTATGCCAACCAAACCCTTGGAACCCCTGGCTTCCCACCGCCATTCCTGATCCTCAAGCCAGTCATGAGCCATGTCTGCCGCTGGGCATGTGGTTTGTTGGGCTGGGGCAAGGCATCTTAGGGTCCAGCCAAGAGCTCATTTTCCCAGGCTTTTCTTTGGGTCAGAACAGTTGACAGCAGACGCTCAGACTGGTTGGCGTGGCTAAAAATCGCCACATCACATCAACTCTAGTTTCCCTTAATAAGAAGGCGCTATATTGACCTCTCATCCTCTTCCACCACCTCCACCAATCATAAAAGTATAAATAAATGGAATAATGGACAGTAGAACAATGCTAACATGATCTCCACTTCATATTGATTTTCATGAGCAGAATAAAGCTGATGGTGATAATCATAGTAAGGACATATCTGCTACAAGTGATAAAATTGATACAAAATCAATAAAATTTATCACGACGGAATGAGAGCTTATTTTTCACTTCTGTACCTTTAGGACAGATGAGAAGCTACAAGTTCTTCCAAGTCCTGGCTCTACATTGCTGCTACCACTACATTCCAGGAAGTCAAGCACCAGGGAAACAATTGGAATGAAGACTCCACTGGCACTAGAGAGCTGATTAAGCATTTGGACACATTTAATTCTCAAAGGCAAGTATCGACGTCCAGGAAATAGATGAGCTACCCCCGTCACAATCTGGATAACTGAATAAAGCACCGGTTGCAGATCATGATCTCTGATGTTCTTTGTGATGAACTTAACCCAGACATCAAGACAGTTAACGTACTGCCAACTGTGTATCCTCTGGAGTTCCTCCTGCACTCCATAAAACAAAAAGAACAACGAAATTAATCCTTCCTCGTGAAGATCTTATACCACAAATAGAAACGCACGAATCTTTATTATGTACCGCCACATAAAACAGTAAGTAACATTTTTACTGAGAAAAGCGCACCTTATTAACAGTATGGGAAAAAACGAAAAGAAAAGGATAAATAATTTTTAATTTGTGGTTGTTTGACAGGGAAAAAACCTAAAATCAAATAGCACCAATTTCTGACCTGAATTAAACCTCCTGTAAAAACTCAGGAAAAAACTTAACTTTATTGCTGGTAAATATCGATGTCCAAAGGGCCACTAGGGAGTAAATATACGTGCGAAAACAATAGCAGGCAAGGATTCTGAATAAAAATAAGACCTAGGGAGCCGTCCATTAAAAAAACATTCGTCATTCGTACAATTTTTCACCTCATCTATGAATAATTCAGGTCAAAGCACAAACCTTATTCTTTGTTTTTAGACCAGACTGCAAAACGTTGGCCAATTCCTGCAAAGCAGATAGTACTTTCTGATATGCGCATTGAATGTCCACAGAGTAAAGTTCCACCATATTGTCACTGAGAAATTCTATCTGCTTAAAGCTTGCTGGCTCAACAAACTTGCAACGAGAAATAAACGCTCGGTAAGTTTGGGTTAAGCAGGCCTCAAGCCACTCAGAGCTTGATGTGGTAGCTATGTCTTCAAGAATGAAAAATGAAGATGAAGACAAATGTTTGTCACCGGTTGCCCAAAAGTGAACAGCAGTCTGCATTCAAATGTAAGAGCATAAGCTTCCAGGGAATTGTAAATATGTGTAACATCAAGATGACTACACAATATGACAAGTATCGCTGCAGTAGCGGAAGCAAAAGAAATATATTTCTATCATTATAATCATACTCAAAAGCAAGTTCTCATATGGAAAGGCCGAAGACGGGGGTCTCAATTGACCAGGCTAGCTCAAATCGGGTGTTAGGCCTAAAAAATAAGTCCAGAGGAAAAAATTGGCCCGGCCTGGCTTCATGTGTTGACGAGATGGATCACAGCTTTTGCTGGGTCACAGCCTGAAAAATAACCCACCAGCCACTGCCCCAACATCCACATCCACTTCTCCACTACGAACAAAATAGCAAATAGTACAACGAGAGCAATTTTCTTTGAGCCCAAACTGTCTATTTATAGCTATAAATCGTTTTAGTATTCCAACTCCTAAAGCCTGACAGCAAAGATGTTCTTGGGGTCACTGCTCGATGATTACTCGAAGTAGCCACTCAATAGTCAGGAACTGCATCATTTAGGAAATGCTGTATACTTGCAACTTAGATATGGAATGCAAAGCTAATTAAAAGTTTAGAAGGAAACTCAAAAAGGAAGTCAGTGAGGAATCTGACCTCAAAATGCCACCCAAAAGAAAAACTAATTGTCACACAAAATCCATCTTGGCCACAGAGAAAGTATCTTTTCTATTAAATGCGTTACAGGATATTATTTTATACAGAGGTGGTAATCATTATGGATGCATAAACTACAATTTACTTTTGTAGCAGAAAATGTTGACTAGGTACCCAACATATCGGGGCCTTAACTACCATAGAAACAAAAATTTTATTTCTCCTGAAGTTTATCATACGGAAGCACACAAGAACAGATGCAGACCATCATTTGTATACAAATACCGAGTGATATATGCACTGTGCATAAGAGATATTAAATAACATCCACAAAGTAACAACAACTTTAAACCTCTCGAACAAAATGATCATGACCCTTTCTTACTAGAATGTAAGTTCATTCGATCCGAAAATACTAAACAAGAATCATCAAATTTAAGTTCATTCGAGGTCAGGAAGAGGACCGTAGGTACAGCCTATTTTATACTTCTTCAGATGTTTTCATGTCAAGAGGAATGAGAAAACTCACACATCTATCCTCTCTGTTTTTAAAAGACAGCATTCTGACAGAAAGATTTATAACTTTCATCAAGCTATCATCACCCATCATGAAAGATAAAAGAACATGACTATGATCATAAAGGCAAGAAAAGAAGTACCTTGATGAGTCTGCTGAATAGTGAAGGGAAAGCAGAAAAGAACATAATTGAAGATCTGAGCTTAGATAAAGTGAATGCCAGTATCTTGCTGTCTGTTAATTGCTTCACTAGAACAAGAGAACTCCTCAGATAAGACTTTATCAGTGGTCTCACAGTCAACCACTTAGGAGAGCTATTTAATTTCGATATGCTCATTTTGCCACGGGACATACACAATAGCCTTCGGAAAATGCCATCAGCTTCACAGAGCACAAATGTTATTATCCTGGAGTAGACTTCTTTACTTGAAATTCCCGTCCATGAAGAATCATTCGAATCACCAGTCCCATAGTGGCATGAAGCTCGAAATGCATTAAGAAGATTAGGAAGTGCAAGCATATTTGGCTCCTCCAAGACCATCCAACACCAAACATCTATTGTATGTGTCGTGAGGACTTTTCCCTGAAAAGGATTAATACCTTCCACTTCTGTGGCTCCATCTTTCCCATTTACTTCTTCTTCGTCAGAGGACTGTAGTTGAGAATTTTGAGATATCAGTAAACGAAGATGGCAAGACTAATCAGAATAATGCCACCATAACCACTTCAGAAATGAAACAGTGCATCATCAAGTTGGTACTAGCTATGCAACAGCTAGATTTATATTACTACACGTTGTGAAGAAATTACTACGAGCCTCATTGCAATGAATTAAAAAATGAGCCAATTAAAGCATGTTGTGACAAAGTACCGATTTTAATGAGATAAATCATTAATTGCCTTGATAACTACAACCCAAAGATATAGAAAATCGGTAGTTACTGTATTCTTGATAACTACAACCCAAAGATATAGAAAATCATTAAAATCGTTACCGGGTTACTGTATTCCAAAGATATAGAAAATCATTAGTTGCCTTGATAACTACGGCTGACAATGGAGAAAAAAAGCCTCAGCTTGTCTAGATCCCAGGTAGTTACTGTATTCTTCTCCACACTACTATAGATAGCGGTCAACACATCCTCTCTTTACTTCTTTCTTTCTTAAGGGAAGGGACGAACTTTGTTAGGAACCCACTGACCCATTTTCTGAAAAAATTAATTTTGACTTCAATCACCTTAAAGAGCGTATCTTAATGGGTAATCGAGTCACCACCAGCAGAGATAACTAAGTAAACTTATTTTTCCCCCGACTCCACTGAAGCCATCAGACAATGGCAATCCAAGATTTTAAGAGGAAATTTTGTACCACAAGTTTGATAACATAAGGGAAGAACTCCCCATCTGAATTTCCACTATCTTTAAATCAAACAGAGTCCAAGAAGCAGTGTTCTCCTTCAAATTCTCCTATTAGAATTGTCTTCTTCAAAATCAGTGTTGAAAGTAAACAGCAAATGGAAAGTCCTCGTTGCCTCTTCCAATTTGAAACAAACATTTATTTTATCCAGCTGATGCGAAACTGTTTTTTGATAAAGAGGTTCCAGCATTTAAATTCTAAGCTCATTGTTGGGAAAGGGCAGGTACTAGTATTCGATGAGGTCAGAAGCAGCCAAGCAAAGCTATTGTGTTACCTCGTCCAACCAACCCTTCAATAGTTGCCTTTTCATTAAGATAAATGACCAAGACGTATTTTTTAACCGTCTATGTTGCATTATTTCTTAGTTTATTAAAAAATATGATAACTTGAGTTAAGTTCGTTTTCAACACCCTCCAGAAATTGTGTGCCCCAAAAAAAAGCTTTCACAAGATTTGTTTAGCCATGTAAGGCTTGCATATCAAATCTTGCATGTAGGTGTATGCACTCACCATAATGAACTAAACTCACAATTGAAAACTACCTCTTCCGCAAAGCAATGCATTAGAATGGTAGAAAATAAGTTTAATCTTTTATTCTTCTTTCCATTTATAACCTAGAATATACTTTCTCTGGAATTCCAAATGTTCTCACCATAAAATCTATATGGGATTTTGTTCGTATGGAATAATCGGTTCAAAAGTATAAACAGGAAGAATCATAGAAATAACTCTCTATAAGAATACGCGTTGGAATTGCTAATATGTTTCTCCTCATCTGTGTTAATGAAAATTTCTTCCATAGAAATAATAGCCTGTCTTCAAAATATGAGCCGTTTGATGAACTTCTCAGTAAGGATCATACAGCTCAATTACCCAAGGAAAACGTGAAATTCATCATGTAAGCTCATAGATAGATAATCCTTGCAATTCAGTCAACATAGAGACGTAAATTTCCACACTTTAGATTAATTAGAGGTCAAATCGAAAAACAGAAAAGTAAAATAAAATGTCATTCTAATTGAAACAGACATCACAACTTACAGCATCTTCAAATCTAACTTGCTTGAGATCACGTTTACGACTGTTCAAAAATTTTGAGAATTCTGGATCCTGAAAAAAATCAATGCAAAAAAATAATAACACAGAATTACAGGAAAAAGACTGACAGTGTGAAAGGAAAAGGCATAAGCAACGCAGTGCATGGGAAAATCAGTTAACCAGTGTCGTGAAGCTACACCTCCTAGCAAAAGATTAATAGAGAAAGTACCATTTAAGAGCAACTATACTCTATTTTAAAACAACTAAAATACACCAACAGGCCACACACATTGAAGCTCATCCCACCTTATCACAGAAGTATCAATTTAAAAAACTATAAAAAAATCAACTAGTTTTATAAATTAAACCAGGTGATTTCATTGAAATCATAAATTCATAATCCTAAAGAATACTAGGAACAGTTCATTGCATCATCAATTAAACCAAGTGATTTTATTAAAGAATAATAATGACAAAAAAAGATAGTAATAATGGGTTTTAAAAATCAACCCCACCTTTTCCCTCAGTCTATCAATTTTTTCCTTTTTCTTGGCAAGTTTCAGTAGCATTTCCCTATTCTTTCCGACTACGGGAGGCTGGCCACCAACATCTGCAAGTTTTTCCAAGACTTCTTATAAATGAAAAATACAAAAATAATGTTTTAGGAGTGAAAGGGGTAAACTGACCTTCCGACTCATGAGTATGGTCAGTCTCTGAAATATATGGGCAGTCTGAATCCTGAATATTGGCAATAATATTCTTTCAGTTTCCCTAATAAGATAATGATCTATTCAAATTTATATAAGACTTGCACACCTCCGAAAGAAAACCATCACTGTCAGAGAAATCTTCAAGTAAAATGTCCTCGTCTTCACTGAACAATGCGTCAAGAAAGTTGCTAGCAACAGCTCCACTCACATTTGTCCCATCAATTCTAAGCAAGCGAAGCAAACAATTGAATTATATGACCGGACTCCAATATTTTCTGTTGGTTCTATGATATGTCTAGCATAGGCTTCTAATTTCTTCAGCGCCAAAACAATGAGAAAGCACTGAAGCGTTCAATGATCTGGTAAACTTTCAAAGGACTTTTAAGGCAAATTATTCAACTGATTACCATTCTTCAAGCAGAATCAACGGCAGACAAAGAATATAACTACTGTGATTCATTGACATATAGACAGATCAAACCGAATTGGAATGGACCAAGCTTAAGTACACACTAATCCAGAAGAGAAGAGTATCATTAGTCACCTATTTTGCCAGCTTTACAAAGCCAGAGTCAACCAGACAACTCCAAATATATTTTAAATTTATGATATGATTAATGCTACCAATTTTTATATAGCAAGAATCCTTCATATTATTAATTCTCATGTTCTCCGAGAATATGGTTCACAACTGTACTATTTTGTTTAATGCGACATAGTACAAATAAATGAATTCATTCTCGCAGTTTCAATTTGACCAGTACATATTCGTGACCTTTAATCAAAAAGTTGAGCCCTATAACCATTTTGTTGATTAGACAATGATGAAAAGGACCGTCTTACTAGATTGGTAACGATGATAAACATCATGCTAAAACTTCTGCCTCATATGGATAGGAGTATTCTTACACTTCTCTAGGCTGATCAATTGCCACTTTCCCATCGCCTCCAGATGTAACCCCATGACCTAAATGTTGGCGCAAATGATTAGCAGTAATCAGACAACAGAGATATACGAAATAAAGATGTAGATTAGAACAGAAACTATGCCTGGAACATAATATCTTATGAAGGCAGTGCACTTACTTTCTCACATAGTATAATGACAAAAATTAAATGAATAAAGTAATGTAGCTCTTCCATGACAATACATGGGAATTATTATGCACTGAATCTTTTTCCACGGAAGCAAGCTCAACTGTAATCAAGATTTAGTTAGTTTTGTAAACTTAAAAAAGCACAATCAATGCTTGCCAGTTGATCCCGACATCCAGACCACTCTCATGGAACACGCAGTAAGTATATCCTATAATGTTCCAAGAGCATGTGCCATTTAACTACCAGACAGAAAAATAGGAGACCATCGGTTCAAACATCCATCATGTACAGAAGAAAAAAAGAAAAATGGCACACATTGAAACGTAAATGACACTTCTGCATTTTCATTGCAGTAAATATGCCTCTACAAGCATCAGAATTTCAAGTGAGAGATGTTGAATGATTGCAGTTGACCTCAGTTAAATACAAGATACATGCCAGAATTTCTTGATGATTAATTAGAGTAATACAAAGTATTCCACAGGCTCCAAGCAGGAAATTATCAGCAGCATGTGATGGGTCTCCTTAAGAGCCTATGCTTTCTACATGTCAAACAAAATTCGAAGCAAAAGTCAATTATGTTCAATGCTACAGGCAATGAAATATGACAGATAACTTGATCTCCCACTTATTATGACTAAACTAACTAATCTAAGATAAGCACCTTTTCAGTTTCAAAAAAAATAATTCACTAATTCAACTATTAGCAGTGCTTACATGAATTTCCTTTAATTGGCTAATCGCCTCAAGACAAAGCACGCACAACGTTTTTTTTTCCATTGAGAAAAGAACCAAAAGAGCTTCCAAAAAGTTTAAGAATGAGTTACAACAAGACCAGCAAAAAGCCAGAGATACTGCCGTTGCAATTTCACGGCCTGTGGGCGATAGGCGAATGACACGACTTAATGAATGATTTCAAGAGCACATTTCACTAAAAAGACAAACGAGCAGAAAAGAATAAAACTAGTTAGTTCAACTCGGCCTTTGCAGATAGAAATAGCATTCCAAACACTCCGGCATTCCTATTTGAAATACAACAGGTGACAACCTGAACTCCTCCTCCTCTTAGAATTTTCTCGCATCGAATTGAATTTCCTTTTCTTCCTGTACACCGACTGAAGATTCTTTTGGCTGAATTTCCTCGCCCTCTTCCCGAGCTTCCCCATCTCTGACACAGACAATACCCTAAACGATTTAAGGCTTCACCGAGGGCCCCGTAGAACAAAATGGGAGAAGGGAAGGGGTTGAACAAGCTGTTCTTGATAGCTTCCGACCGGACGAGGACAGCCGCCGGAGGAGGAGACAGCCACCGGCACAGAGGAGTATGCCTGCTGAGGAAATCAGGGTTTTAACGTCCCTCCCCCTCCCTTCTTGGAGAGGTTTTGTGGTTAGGTTCGGGCCGGGCTTCGGGTTTTCCAGTTGGACCGGCCCGGGCCGCAGGGCGGCTGACCTTGAGAACCGGGCTTTTCTTTGGGCCCGGTCCCATCTCAGGGAAAATGAGATAAAAGATTATTTTCTCTAATTTTAAATCCAACATCCACTTAAGAAAATAAAACAAAACGCTATGGTCACCTCATACTCAAATCGAATCCATGCAATCCATTTTCTTGTTCTCAATATTTTATTTAAATAAAAAAAATAAACTGGAAAAATATGTTGCGGTCACCCCCTTATTCTAATCATTTTCACATGTCATTAAAATTCATATAAGTTATATTATTTAAAATAGAAAACAAGAATTTATATCATTTTTATGATTTCCATCTGTTATAAAAGAGAATGAGATCACCATTACCGATTCATTTTCCTCAATATGGTCCAGAAAATAAAATGAGCCTTCAAGAGTGGGGCCCATCAAAGCGTAGCAGTGGGCCCCGTGCTTTTTTGCCCTCTGACACGCCTAATCGCCCCGAATAAATATAAGTATATAGTTTTATATGCTTTTAAAAAAAAAGAAAAACAAGTCAAACCCCATCTAGCTTCAAGACTAGACGTTGGTTGACCCTCCAGACTTCGAAAGTAAACCAGATGACATTGCTGTAGAAAGCCAATACCACCGTCTGATCAGCATCGGTGAGCCACAAACAGGTATAGTCCTTGATCTTCCCTTCTGTGGTCCTCAAGATCCATTCATCTAACGGCCACGGGGAGACGATCACTGAGTTCAGCCCCCTCCCCCAACCTCGAACAAAACATGCTTATCAGTACATGGCTGAGGGGAGGTTAATCTCACCGACGATGAAGGGTATCGACCTCTCGTCATCCTCTTCCTCTTCTCTGTGCTCGGCATCGCCTCTCCATCGGAACAACGGCGAAAGCTCCGGCGGCCGTGAGAGGAGAAGGCGGAGAGATGATCGAGATCCGGCGCATCCAGGTGAGGGAGAATGCGGGGAACGGTGTTAAGTTCTCCAAGGTGTTGCTGCAGAAGGTACGATGGAGCACGGGGCCAAGTCTTCCAAGGCGATCTGCGACGAGCACGGGGTCGATCGGCTGGGGGAAGCACCATGGAGGATAGGATCTGAAACTGGCGCAGATCAATCTACTGCTCTAAGGTGAGGCCAGTGGCGGGACAGCGGGGTAAGCTCCGGCGGCCGTGGGGAAGGCGGAGAAGATCGAGATCCGGCGTATCCAGGAGAGAGGGAAAAATGCGCGGAACGGTGGAGCGGTCGAGTCCTCCAAGGCGATTTGCGATGAGCACGGCGTCGATCTGGCGGAGGATCGGATCAGAACCGGAGCGGATCAATGTGCTCCGGTCGGGTACAAGTGGCGGGGGGGTTCGTCCCCTGTGCTGTTTTCATGGCGACGCCGGGTACAAGGACGACCTCCGGTCGGGGCCATTCCACGCCAACAGTTTCCTGCTAGGGCAGTCTTGAACGGGAAACAATAGGCTGGGAGTCGAATGAATCTCTCTTCACAAGGAGGCGAAGAATCGCGATCGCCTGCGAGGTCCGTGCATCCGATCTGTTGAGCAAGAGAAACATCATCTATTCTATTATGCTGTTTTGTGTTCAGATCTCGAATTGGACGAATGGAAATGCTGCGGAAAAGACTGTCTGACGAACAGGGGAGGCCAATTTTGCGATGAACCCTTTGTCTTTTCTCTTGGAAAGGCTTTTAATTCCTCTGCTTCAGTTGCTGCTCATTCAATCCGTCTAGAACGATGCTTATTGGTGTCAAAATTGATTTTTTTCTTCTTTTAATCTGCCTTCAAGGCCCCCCCCCCCGCATCCACCAAACTAGTCATCAGCGGCAGTTGACCTGTAGAGCTTTGGTCAACTGGGCATTGACTTCCACCCTCCCTAGCTACCTGTGGGGGCTCGGTTGTCGGGAGGGAGGGAGGGGTGGATATTTGTGCTTCTTCCCTTGCGGTAATTTGATCGTCTGTCTACTGTACTCCAACGTTGCCAGGGGTGCGCTTCACGCGTTGTGCTCCACTTCGCGGCAGCACAACGCGTTCGACGGTTAGTCAAGCTACGACTGTCATCTAGCGACGGTTCTCTTTAGATCGACACGTGGATCATTTCTTCTCCGCGTGGCTCCGCAGCAAATGTCCTTATCCAGTCTTGCTGTTATCAGCAGGTGCAGTCTTGTCGACACGTCTTAAATCTCGAAAGTCGCGTGTGACGGACAGAATCATAAATGAGGACAGCGAGACGGAGCAAAGACTCAGACCGCCCCGACTCCAATGAGGGACTCCACTACCATCCCCGGGCCGGGCCGGTATTAAGGGCCCGATCATCCTCCAGCCCGGCCTGCTGGAGGCGATCACCTATAAATATATATGTACCCTCTCCGCCGCAGCTACTCCTCCTCTTTGTCGCCGGCGTTCACCGTCGCCGCAGATAACGCCGGAGAGCTCGCATGGCGAGCTCGTGGAAGAAAACGAAGCTAGGGGGGATCTCCCGCGTCCTCGCTTCCAAGGTTAGGCGGGGGGTCGGCGACTCCCCACTCGTCGTCAAGGCGGGGTTCCCCACATCGGTCGCCGATCTCGTCGTGAAGAGCCGCGCCAGGCTGAGGCGGCCGCCGCGGTGGATGCGGCGCAAGGTCGCTGTAGACGGCGAGGTCGGAGGCTTTGTGATGGCGGAGGCCTCCGTCGCCAGTTCGCCGTCTGGGCCTGGCGGATCGGCGGAAGCGGTGGAGCAGAAGAGGAGCAAGGTTGGGGTTTCAGACGGCGGCGCACGGTCGCCGTCGGCCTCGGGCGAATCGCCGAAAGAAGAGCCTCCGGCAGCGCCAATCGGAGCCTTCCGGAGCGTTTCTGGATCGGAGGCGCCGAGAAATGTGATCCGCGAGGACGTCCCGCGGCTGAGATCGAGATTTTCTGTTTCGGTTGAGCTTCGAGATGAGGTCCCTCAGGCTACTCTCCGGAAGAAGGTGCCAGAAGAAGAAGGTCCAGGTAGTTCTCCCCTAGAGGCGGAATGGAGACCTGAGGGCTCGGCTTTCGTGGCTTCTGCCGAAAGGAAGTTTCGCGACGGAGGGAGCGGAAGAGGGCTGGAGATGGCTGCGAAAATTGGTTTCTCCCTGCTCATCCTGGCCTTGGGCACAAAAAAGATCGCTATCGGCGTCTCGATTTCCGCGTTCATCGTCTTGGTCCTCGAGTCGCTTGGGAGGCGCTTGATTCCACTCCTGAGATCCCGCGGGGAGTTGAAGAAGAAACACAGCAGCCCCGGTGGAGGGCCTGCTTTGGAGATCCTCCGATCGGCCGGGGTATTTGATTTGAGCGGCAACCGGCGCATCCCTGCGGAGAACTTGACAGTATCGAGCGAATTTGATTCAGCTCTAATTCCTCTTCCGGCAATAGAAGCGGAGGATCGTCTTCAAGCTAATGGCATCCCGGAGCAACAGAAGCCAGATAACGCGAACAGGAAGGCGAGGAAGCTACTGAGGAAGCTGGTGCCGAAGAAGCTGCGCGTGGCCAAGAGCGAGATGGAAGGGAAGCTCGGAACTAAGGCTGACGCTGCGTCAGACTCCAGCAGCAGAGGAGCGTCAGGCCAGAAGGCCATAGAAGGGAAAATCCTTGAGGAAAAAGAAGAAGAAGAAGAAGATGAAGAAGAAGAAGAAGAAGAAGAAGCAGATGTTGGTGTTGGGAGTGAAGATGAAGAAGGCGAGATTGTTCCTTGTTCTGGAGTTTCTCCTGAGGCTGATGATGCAGCTTTTCCTTCAGAAATGGCGGTTCCGTTGACAAATCAGAGCTTGAGGCACCATGTTCTGCTGCTCATCGTTTTATTCGGACTAGTTGGAGGGCGGTTCGCCGCCATGGTGATTACGGTCGCGCTGTATTCTCTGGCTACGTGGGCCAGGAGATTGTTTAAGAACCGGAAGATGCGTCAAAACCAGTCCGCATGAGGTGTTCAAAGGAAGAGGAAGAAGAAGAAGAAGAAGAAGAAGAAGAAGATGATGATGATCCATTTGTTTGTGGTGTTCAACCTCGCGTTGGCGATCCTAGTGTGAAGATACAAGCTAAGCTATACACAAGAAGAACAAGTGATGATTTACCTGTACATACTCGATACTTTTCAAGTAAGATTCGGTTTTTAAAGAATTTCTGCTTTCGCCAGTCATACTGAATCACTCTCGAGCATCTGTACTCCAGATAAAGATTACTTGTATCCCCTCTCCCCTTAATGAGCAATTACAGAAGATGCATATTCGTCACTTGACGAGTGGTTCATGTTCTTGAGACAAACACAACTCATCATCATCGTCTCCTCCTCACTGGTGTGATTGATTCCGAGATAACCAGGAAGAACAACCTGGTCAGCCGGTTTGTCCGGCCATCTTCTGGTTAATCCCACTCGAGTTTCATGCCTTTGACCCATTTTTTGTGCTGCTCTCCTGCTGTTCCCGAACCGCATCTGTAATTGAAAAAATACGGTAAAATATCCTCCTTTTCACTTCCGAGGCATATGGAAAATGTTATTCTTGTATTTTATATGATCCCAGGTCTGGTGGGTTCCTGAGTGCGGCTAATGGCCGGCATGAGAAGGGAAGACCCACTGAGCCGTCAGCGGGGTGGGGGGAGGGATGGAAAGAGACTCTCTCTCTTTCTCTCTCTCTCTCTCTCTCTCCCCTTCATCATGTACATTATTAGAGTAGGGTACATCTGATAATTACCTTTTCAGGGAGGGTCTGTGACATAAACCCATTTGGATGTGTGCAGTCCATTTGACTATTTCCTACGGAATGTGGACCACCCGACAATTTTCTATTAACTTGTGGCTCTGTATCTGAGGTCCATGTTTATTGGGGTTGACCTCAACGCATGCAATCTATACAATTAGTAAGCTCCGTAGCAGTCTTATTGTCGTGGGTTTAACCGCTAAGCCCATGGCCCACAGTAGGTTTAAGCGGCCCACTTCGTCATCATCTCACTATGCAAGGAACTTGGTAGGTTAAAGGGTGGTTCTTCATGGTCAAACCAGGGGACGTTCTAGATTTTTTCGATGATTAATCGTTGACTTTTCGTGGACAGTCACGAAGGAACTTTTAGGGTACCGAATTCTTGAGCGTGATGAATTGAATCCTAGGCTATCTTTTTATTACCGCTTCTTGGAAGGTTCGCCGAAGGTTTTATTTAATTCCAAGCTTCAACCCCTCCAGGTCCTTATAAAACAGCCGGATTATCCTCATTCTCTCTCTCTCTCTCTCTCTCTCTCTCTCTCGCAGAAGGCAACGATGGTAGAGCGGACCGATAAGCAAGGAAGGGGACGAGGGGGGATGCGCGTTGTTGGAGAGGCGCTGTTGATCGCAGGGGCCGTGTACTTGATCGGAGTGGAACCTTTCCTCTCCCCGGCCGTCCCCTCTCTCTCTCTCTACATGTTCGCCTTCTACTCCGGGGGCCTTCTGCTCTTCCTCATCTCCCTCCGCCGTCCCAACTAGCGTCGGCGCCGGCGCCGGCCTCGCTCCTCCGGTGGTTGAGCTGCCGTTGCTGCTGTTCATCGCCGGCGCAGCGAACCGCATCCATCGGAGACGGCCCTTTTTCTCTCTCTGTCTCTCGCTCTCTCTAGCCTCTTCTCCGGCGCCGGCGTTACTCCGGCAGTGGAGCTGCTGCTACTGTGTTCATCGCCGCCGCCGTGAACTTCACCCACCGGAGACGACCCTTTCTCTCTCACCTTGTTCGCTTTCTTTTCCGGCGCCGGCGTCGCTTCTCCGGCGGTGCAGGAGCCGGTTTTCATCGTCGCCATCCGACCGTCGATTCTAAAAAACGCCCGAAGGGATCGACAAGGTGGACACATCGTACGACTTTTATAACAAAAAAGAATAAGAGGGTTTGTGCCACGTGTCCATCTGGGTTTCGCTCAAAACAAAAAACAAAAGAAAAAAAGACTAGCTCTTTGGCGGCGGCAGCGTCCCGAAGACCCAATCCCAGCAAGAGGAGGTGATGCCGAACCCCAGGGTCTGGACTCTGAAGTGGTGGTTCATGTGGTAGCGCTGCAGCCAAAAAAGCCCGGAGGAGGGGAGGAATTCAAGTCGGTTTCTTTCTTTTTTGCAGGAAAAAGAGGTAGATGAGTTGACCTTGAGGTTCCGGGCCGGGTCAACGGAGGGCTGACCATGATGAAGGTAGTAGTGAGTGCAGTCATAGACGATGTAGCCCAGGAGACCACCGCCGAACAAGGCGGGGGCCATTGACGGCGCCACTAGGAGCTTGCTGAGATTCCAGAGCTGGAAGAACACAGCAACAATTCGGAAGATTAAGATAAGAGCCAGCAGATGGAACCGGGCAGAATAAAAGTAGACTAAGCAGCGCGCAGCGAGAGAGAGAGAGAGAGAGAGAGAGTGAGAGACATTATTCGAGTTCTCAATGCTTAATAGGAAGGAAGGATCCTGATCCTGGATAGCCTGAAGTTTAAGAGAGGAGGGCGGTGGAACCGGGTGCAATATAACTGAATGAGAGGAGAGAGAGAGAGAGAGAGAGAGAGAGAGAGAGAGAGAGAGAGAGAGAGAGATTGGCCAGATTGAAGACGATGACCTTGGATTGGCCAAAATTTCCACAGCGTTCAGATCCAATCTTGGATACCATGAACAATGGTATCCAACTCTTTGCATCCTTGGGTTTCACTCAATAGCCATCAGCAACATGCTTTATATTATGAATAAACATTCATTGGCCATGAAAAGTTTTCTCCAAGACTTCATACCCATGAAGTTTCCTTTTTCTTTTTTCGTACTAATCTGAAAAAACTAGCACCAAAGGGAGGAGAAGAAAAGCTTCTTACCGGGATGCATAGAATAGCCGTTGCAGCAGGTGGGAAGACCAGGCGTAGTCCGTCCATTGGGTGCTTATGGTGGCAACCATGGATAAGATAATGTGCAGTGTTTCCCCTGCATTTGCAATATATACGTATATGTTTATATATACATGTAGAGAGAGAGAGAGAGAGAGAGAGAGAGATAAGTCACGAGAAAAATCATTAAAAAAAACTGGAAGGGTGGTGGAGGGCTTCTTCACCAGTAGCTCTTGGTTTTGATGTGGAAGAGGAAGCGGTGAATAATATACTCCAATAATGTCCAGATGACTATTCCTGAGGCCGCCATTACAGCTATTTGAGGAAATGTGCGCCCCATCAGAACGGATTGAGAGACTGACCAGCAAACCACTGGAAGCCAGATGACGGGAATCGCCCACCACACAGTCCGCGTCAAGAACTGAAATTTCGATGATGGGTCTCAAGTACTGTTTCTGGATATTTACATAAATAGTAAGTAAACTGCAATGAGAGAGAAAAAAAAGAAGAAAAAGGAGGCCCACCTCCCAGAAATCACTCTTGAAGAACCGAGGCCCTTCCTTGCCGACAATGGGCTGGTGAACCCATTGCTCATAGGCCTCCCCAAGATGGCCAACCTTGAAATAGAAAAAAAAAAGAAAAGAAAAATAAAATCTGATTATTTCGTTGGAATGGGATTTTTCTTTTAACCAGTGCAGGATCTGGGAACCGAAATGATGACCATCATGAGGGATCTCAAAGGCCAAGAGGAAATAGCGCAGGAAAACATACCTGGAACACAAGCGGCGCATTTAGATCGACAGTGAACCCCTCTGCAACCATCTTGGCACCTGGTCCAATTTCGTCAGGAATTTGAGTGAAACTGATAAAAACTGATGTGCACGCAAGAATGAGCAAAAAAAACCCTATATTTGGCGCGTCACTAGAATCTTTTATCTTTTGTTTTAATGGGAAGATGGAAGTACAGTCTACTGTAGAAAGCCGATAACATCAATGTAAAGAGATTGAAATATATTTTTATGTGATTACGAAACACAGCTGCACTTGATTGGGCTCTTGAAATGATCATCAGGAAGAGTCTGCTCAGTACCAGGGAAGAACACAAGCATAGACAGAAAAATTGACATCGGGGGAATTACCAACCCGACCAGTATGGCGTGAATGCTTCTGCGGTGGTTGTCACAGGCGGTAGGTAGAAAATAGAATACGACTTTCCACAAGTCCATTTTTCAACTTAACATAAAAATGTGGATTCACAATTCAGCAACGCCCATCATCCCCCGGATCTTCCATTCCAATCTCTACTTCCCACACTACGAAAAGCATAAACCGGCGGCGCTCGCCAATCGAGCGAGATGCAAGCTAAAGAGCTTCTGTAATGGCACGCGACAGGAAAATAATACAAAAGATTCAAATAATTATAAAATCCTTACAAAACTGAATTGTACACGTCTCTTCGGGAGAAAACACCGAGCAGAAGGTAAAGACGACGGGATCTGCAGCCCACCCGCTACTTTGCTGAATATGGAACAGACGCGATGCCGGACATTCAAGGCCGATAACACGCGAAAAGCCATAGAGATGGCAAGGCATAAAATAAAATTACGCAAAAAAAAAAACCTTTCCTCGGGATGAAGATCTACGAGCCCACGTCCCAGAATCCGAACAAAAACCAAAAGAGAGTGGAGGAGAAGGCCAAAGAAACCGTTCTTCGGAGCCAGAACAAACCAGAAGGGCCGGAAAACTAAACTTACTCTGCCCTGCCACCCCGCGCCGCTCCCTGCCCGCCGCCGGTATTTGAACCTCTCGCGGAGGCGACGGAAGAAAATTCAGAGAGAGAGGGAGGGAGGGAGGGAGCGAGGCAGAGAGGGAGAGAAGAAGACCATCTTGCAGTAAAGGGTATTTTTCCTTTAACCTCTCTACAAATTTTACATAAGATTGAAGACCGCAGGTATATTTTTATATGCTTAATAGCCCTCATCTGCTGCTGTCAGGTTCACGGAGTGAAGGATCAAGCTCCGTAAACCGACTCTCCAAGGGCTTTAAACTAATTACACACTTTCCTGGGGTTTCGAGGAAATCCCTTAAACCGACTCTCAGATTCAGAAGGGGGCTCCCCTGTGGGTCCCACGGAGCCGCCTCCACAAGCCAAAGAAAAGGTCCATGGGCCCCACGAACGGATCTTCTTCCTAAGTTTATTTAATGACAAGTTAAAACATGGGCTTGCAGTTATGCCCGGATATTCTTATTATTTTCTATAACCTAAAGAAAATTTTATTAATTTCTATATATCTCAAGGGATCCCACTAAAAATGGGCTTGTTAGTTTAATAGAAAGATCTTTTAAAACACTAAAATATTAATGTTAAATAAAAGTTTCATTGTATAGGTGGATGGAGTTAAGTTAATTGGTTCAGCTGTTGTGAACAGTTGCTCTAGCTCCTTGAGGTCACTTTTATCTATTTTTCTGCTCATTCCAAGTTATATTTTATTTTTTAGCACAGATTGAATAAGATCATTATAATATTTAGGATCAAGATTTTATCTCGCTCTAAATCTTAGTGATGTAATGCGGTTTTTCTTTTTTGTCTACATTTTTCTTCAATGTTTCCTGGCACATTTCTAGGTCTTTGATCAAAATGTCTTCCGTACTATTTAGTGATGGAGTTTAATTTTCTGTATCTTCAATTAGTGCAATCATCATAGTGACTTATTAACCACTCATCCCCATCAATGGTGTTTTTTGGCTGATGTCTACTAGGGATGCACATTTTCAGTTAGATTTTCTCATATCTTATGTTGATGGGGGCTACTTTTTTTTCTCATAGTACATACATAGCTCATTTTCTTTGTTACCTTGAACATTGTCTTTATTTTTCTAATAATTGCCACATTTTCCACCCACACTCTTGAACATTTCCTTTCCTTTATCTTTCTCAGACTTTAGTAGATCTTAACATACATATAATTGAACATGTTTGGACTGTTGAAAAATATTGCAACCAATCCTTTACAACTTTGTTTCTTTTGTATATCTACAAAGTTATCTTATAAAGTTTGGAGAACTATTGACATTAATGATACTTTAAAATATAACCATCTTAATTTTGTGCTACCCTTCTTATAAGATAGATCTTAGATACATAGACCTAGGGAATCTCTAAATCTATGCTTATTTTCAACTCCCTGAAGCATTTCGTCACTTGCTACGCCCTTCCTCGTCTCTTTTCTTTTTTCATCCATTATTAGAGGAGCATTGATCATTAATCATTTTATCTTTTTGCACCTTGTGTTGGTGTTTATTCTTTTGCTAATAGGTAGAGTGCGCCAAAATCATGAAATCATTTTGGAGAAATATTTGTCACATCTAGAGCCATGAAACTTGTATCGGGTTTTTGTTATGTCCCATCTCAAAAAATCTTCTAGACTCTCTACGAGGCTCATTCATGGACCCATGACCCACCCCTATTTGAGATCACCTACTCTCATAAAGGGAAGTGTGTTGTAAGGGATGACTTAAGGTAGATGGGCCAAGGGTCTATATATGCTCTTGATTTTGATACTTATATTATAAAATTTATTTATAAATTAGTTTTGAGTGATTTATTGAATATTAATTAAACTATTTATATGCATCATGATAATTTACATCACAAATAGAATAAACACTGAAAAATATTTAATATATATATATTGATGATGCTGGACATTATCTTATGGCTAACAACAAATCTAAAGAGTTACACTCTTGAGATATATTTTTATGTTGAAATAATACATCATAATACTATCAGAATATAAGTACAAAACAATGTGTCAACACATGTGATGAAGTCTCACGTACATTCTTAAAAAATAAAGTTACCAATAGTTTTAAAATATGATACCTAAGTAATGTGAAAACATAAGTATTAGTATAAAAAATATTGGTAAAATCAAAGAAATACACTATTAGACATTAGATTCGAACTTAGGACTCAAAGTATGTAAAATTGAGAAAATTAAGGGCAGAAAAATTTGAATCTTATAAAGGGCAAAGCATGGGTGGGATTTAAAATTGAGATCACTGCATTGACACCATGGAAAGTTAATCAAACATATAGAACAAAATCATATCATCGATGACTGATGTATGAATTGATCTCTTGTCTTATGTGGCTGTTGAGTTGGACCATTTGTAGGACATTGTTAAGGAAGTGGAGAAGTCTTCACCACGTAACCAACATGGTAACATGTCAGAATCTTATATGAAGAAAATGATAGAGTAAAATGACAAATTTTAACTCGATCTCAAAAGTTAAAGCATTTAGAATTTGCCACCATTGAAGTAAAAAGAGTGATGTAAACAACCATTGAAGTATCACAAATATTTAGAAAGAAGCTTCAAAGATCATTATGAGAGACCTACACATTTCAAAGTAAAGAAGAATTAAGGGTTAATCTTGCACACCCTAGATAGTAACACATCACTAGAGTTCATTGACAAAATGATAAACTCAATGATCATATCTGAGGTTGACATTGAAGATAAAGATGTCTATCGATCAATTACAAATTACAAGACATTATCAAGGACAATAAATATGAGAAAAAAAAAATTGAACTGAAAAATCATTGAAGGTCAGAAGCACAAAATATGTGAACTAAAGACAAGCTAAAAGACCACCTTTGAGTAAGACCCAAAAAGAGAAAATGTTTGTTGATTAGTTAGAATCTCTAAATAAAATATCACAAACAACAAACTCACGAGTGGAAAGCTTGATACTTTAAAGTAGTCGAAGGTCACAAATATGGTGGTGGAGCAACATGATAATTTTTATACTCATATGATGATTCTCAGATGCTAAAATGATAGAGATATGTTAGAATATAAAGATGATGAGTTGAAGAGGAACCAAGTAACATTAAACGAAGATATTTTCATCCACATCATTTACTCAAGTTTGTGAAGAAGATCATATTCAATCATCTTTAAGAAAGAAATCGTGCATCTCAAAGAGAGAATCAAAGAATTATCTTACTTACTCATTTTGGTGGTCTACAAGTCAACCAACTGAGCTAAAGACTGTCTCTCTCCATCATGCCCTAAGATAACTAAGGTGGTGAGTGAATAGAGAGTTAAGCTAAGACACTAGGTGTTGAGAGTTGAAAACTACTCATAGAGAGTGTTGTTATTTGAGAAAAAATGTGTATCTTGAGGATTTTCAAGCATGAGTGGAATGTAGTCATTATTGACGGCTAGAGTTTAAATGATGCATTATAAAAAAGATGGCATCTATCAAGAAAGAAAGCATGATGTCTTCTAGTGTATTTTCCTAGCCGAGTTTCAAAGATTGACCATCTTTAATTGGCTTATACAGAAAAGGATTGGAGAATTGTGTCTTTATTTCTCTCTCATTATGTTCTTTCTCCTTCCTCTTTTGTTGTTAGTGAAAGTTCTCCTCTCATCACCCATTTCCCCCCAATTTTAACACCTCCTTTGTCCATCCTCTTCTAGACAATGGATTGTCATAAAAAAACCTACAGACTAAGACATATATGTTGCAACCACTTATACAATTGAGCCTCAATACATAAAATTCAAAAGATTGGATAAATTAGGCAAATAAATAATCAATATGAGGCTCTTGAAGCATATAATTTTAGTATTTTGTGATAATTTATGAGAGCTATATAAGAAGAGGTAATTATAGTTCTTATAGGATATGATATGGTAATTTGTCTCAAAAGAATGACTTCTTTTCCTCACCAATTTCAAATTTTAGACAAGAAATAAGTAGAAAAATGATGCACCTTAATCATTGTAAGGTAAGGTATCAAATT